CTGATGCGATTAAGGAAAAACTGGTTGGGAGACACCCTTGATAAATTTACCGTGGTGCGTTTGGTACAAGAATATACCTACTTAAATTATTTTGACATTTTAGTCTGAGGTAAGAGCCTACGTCAAACAACGCAGAAATAAATAAGGAAATATTCCTGCTAAACGTAGGTAACGGTTAATTATAACTTGTTTATGCAAATGGGTGTGCTGATTCTATCATAACTTTTGCATTTAATATTTATAGCCAATTCTTCTCAAAGACATCTATGTGTACTATGTACATTGATTGCCATTTTTGTCTACGTTTAGGTACGATTTACAAGAACTGTTGTTTTTTTTCTCATTAAGATGACTTTATTAGTATAAAGTTATAGTTATGGCACTGAAATATACTATCTAAACGTAGTCAGTCATTAAAATTTATGTTTGAAGATGTCGCATGTCAGGTCAGATCGCAAATTGATTAACCCACGCACCCTTGCTATCGGCAGTGATAACGTTATCAATGTATTATTGCGCCGATAGCTTATTTGAAGTCGCCGAACTTGTTAAAATTATCAATGCTAAAGAATCGTTTGTTCGTTATTAATTTGATAATATTGTTTTATTAGAAAATAGTGGTCATTCGTCATCGCCATGATTTTAGGCTACAACTATCCATTATGTTGAACATAGGGTCAGCCCTCAGAGAAAATCGTACATGACAATGGCTCTCCATAATCATAATGAAGTGGTTCGTCCATCAGTCTAGCGGTCATTATACTTTGCTCATCATCATCATAATCTCAGCCATAGGACGTCCACTGCTGAACATAGGCCTTCCCCAATGCTTTCCATGCTGCCCGGTTGGTAGCTGCCTGCGTCCAACGCCTTCCTGCTATCTTTATGATGTCGGTCCACCATACTTTGCTTGCTTTTTGATATACGATCGACTTTAATTAAGAAACTCTACTGCATATCTTAGTGGTATTTTAATGTTTTGTCGTCATGCTGTCATATTTGGTAAATTTGCCTTTCATGTAAGCCCTTGTATGAAACACGATCAGTGTCAGTTCGAGAAGCCTTACTTTATTAGTTAGAACGTCTTCTTTATAAAGGGCTACAATGTAATCGTATCAACTCTTTGTACTACGAGTATCTTTTGACAAGTATTATCGGTTAGGATTTCTTAAGCGCTATTCCCTTGCTACCTAGAGATGCGCAGATTAACTCTTTTTCAGGATTAGGGAGTTATATTTCCCAAGTTACAACTCCCAAATACACTAGCGATTGTAAGGTTTGAGTTTACAATAAGGAAGCAAAGCTCTCTGAATGAAAGCACACTGAAAACTAGCTAGAGCCAAACAATATGCAGCCTTTATATTACCTCTTTGGAGTCATAAATCCTTTGGTACTCTCACAGCCGCTAAGTAAGAGCTGATTACTATGTTGCGAAGAAATATAGGAGTGGTGCTAGTCTAGCCCCGGGGGTCAGAGCCGTTTACGACGAGACCAATTAGTCAAGCAATAACTGCTAATTGCTTGTTTGCGCGCTTTACGACCAGCGCTTGACTTGACCTGCATACTGTCTTCATTATGAACCTTCAGTTTGCACGTTGATTATTAGTATTATTGACTTCTTCAAATTGAGATGGTATTATGGTTCGCTTTGGTCTGCAAAGGAAGGAGGAAGACTTACTTTTTTGCCTTGTTGGGTCAAATGCTACGTTTTTGCTTAGTCAGGCAATAACTGCTAATTGCTTGTTTGCGCGCTTTACGACCAGAGCGCTTGACTTGACCTGCATACTGTCTTCATTAGGAACCTTCGGTTTGCACGTTGATTATTAGTATTATTGGCTACTTGAAATGATTCGCTTTGGTCTGCAAAGGAAGGAGGAAGACTTTTTTTGCCTTGTTTGGTCATATGTTTCAATTCATTCATGATCATGTATCTCACCAACCCTTTTCAAAATCAAGATTTGGGTCAAGCTTGCAATATTCCATTAAGTATATCAACCATGGACTTGGATTCTTGAGTGTGTTAGACGCAGACGCAGCAGATGCTCATAGTTTTTTTAAACCATGTCTGCTCTGCTGTATGATGATGCTTTGATGATAGAGAGAAAACAATCAGTTAAATATCGCTTGGTTTTACAACAGAAGTACTTTCATGCCATCAATGTAGAGGTTCTTTATTTTATACATTTAGCGATGAAAGTTAAAAGCCATTTCAGCAATTTTTTTATGCTAGACAAGGCAGGTATTTGACCGCAATCGCACCTGGTGTTAAGTGAGATGCAGTCTAAGATGGTACGTAATATCTGCCCTGTTAATGCCTATTCACTCTCGCCTTGAAAACGCCCGGATTTTAGTGTTTAGGAAATACAGCAGCAGACAGCGAATTCCATTCCCTAGCTGTTTTTGTCTTGTAACTTGTAAATGTACTATACTAAAATTAACTTTTATAGTTGCTTTTATGTATTAAAAAACTGTACATTCGTTAAACACATACTCGTACGTTAAAATTTTTTGCAAACAAATTACTCTGCTGAACACGTTTCATGTATACGTTCACGCCTCGCTTAAATTGAAATACTGTGTATTTTTTTCGATTTATAAGCAAATTAAATAGCACATTAGTAATGTTGCAATAAATTTTAATTCGCCGGCAGCGCCTGCGCACAATGCACGCAAACGTTGTTGGTAGGGCTGCCAATACGTAATATTTTGAATCTTTTAATTTGTAAAATAATAACGAATAAGCTTTTCTAAATTCTAAATGCCCTAAACACGATTAGATTACGTACATCCTAGACCTAGAATAGTTTCTTTACCTGACTTAATCCAGGTTAATATGAACCATTTTTTAACCAACCTGCATTTTGACAACCCTATCACTGGCGCGTGATTCACTCCTGGTTCCAGGCCGGACACGGAAACTGCTTTGTTTTCTTTTCGAACTTAACTCCAAGATCTAGAATAGCCTCATGAGTGGTGCAACACAATTGACCGGCCGGCGTTCTGGCAACACTGTCTCCCAGCGTGTGATTCACTCTTGGCCGGACATTAAAGCTTTGTTTGGAACTTTACTCCAAGAGTCGAAGATTTAACATAGAGCAAGAAGAGCCCGTGAAGTCTAGTATTTCGTTATTATTTGATGAATTTGGGTTAGCTTACACACAGAGACATTCTTGATGGTCCATCGATCCATCGTTCTTAGGTTTGTTGGGAGCATGCGCTGACAAGCTATCAGCTTTTATAAAATAAAGAAGGTTTGGAGTTCACGGGCTCTTAGATCAAAAGTTAATTGAGTGGTACAACACAATTGCTACCATTATTGACCGGCCTCTCTCTGGCAAATCAATTACCGTGATTCACTCTTGGCCGGAGAAACTGTTTTATTTGCAATTTTACTCCGAGAGTCCCAAGATTTAGAATAGCTTATCGAGTATTGTGAGCAACACAATGTTACCATTCTTGACCGATGATCTGGCAACCCTATTACCGTGATTCACTCTTGGCCGGACACGGGAACTGCTTTGTTTTCTTTTCGAACGTTACCTCTCAAGCTCAGACGTTGAGTACGCCTGAACGCTCTCATCCGTGGCTTGTTCGACAATGACAGATGACAGCACCAAGCGATGTTCTGGGCAGCCTCTAATTTTATTATAATTCGTAAGAAAATATCCACACCACGTCAGCTTCTACTGCAATCACTTCAATGAACACGTTTTTCGTCGAAGAGATTCAAATGAATACTAAAAGATTGGTTCTACTACAGCTATTGTTACCTCATGTATCAGAGCAATAGTTGCATTGCGTTTATGTTAAATGGTTTAGATAATAATGAAATAAAATATTTATTAATTTAAAATTGTTTTTCAGAAAGACTCAATCAACCGACTGTTTGTATTTCTCAAATTAATACTGCTGCACTAAAGCCTTGCGTACTATACCATACAACACATGTTCTCCACTCCTTTCAAATAACAAACTGTCGAGTGCCTTGACATAAATTAATGACGGACCATTTTTAATGTTCAATTATCTATTGTTACACCGTATGATGGCCTGTTAAATATTGCCGTATCGAATTACTATCTAGCAGTCGGTGTCCAAACAAGAACTATCATTGGAGGTGACGAAATCGTGATTAAAGTGTCCTTCTAATTTGGACCACAAGATGCATCAGAATAAGATTCAAATTGATGTCGCGCGGAAGTAGTTGATTCATCGGACTAAGTCTGTACGGGTTAATTGTTTATTTACCGAATGAACCGAGAACTGAAGAATGGTAGAGAAAATAAATAAAATACAGCATGCTCTATCCCCTTAATGACCATTTCATTGTGATTGTTATTGCCCATAGACTTACGCCCGTATTCATAAACATTACTATGAGGTCTCACAGTGCACGTGGACGCATAGGGTGACACACGAACCAATCACAGAGCTCTATTCAACGCTGTGCGTTCGATTTGCTGCTTCACTTAAGCAAGCATCGTTTGTGAATACGGGTGTGAGTCTATTCTGTCCTCGTATTAAATGCCTTGTGTGGGTCTTTAGGTCTCTAAATTCGTAACAGTATGACGTATTTGTGAACAGTCTGATGGTTTTGTAGATTTTTTAATACACAAAATTCAATAATATGTTCAGTGTATATCTTTGAAAAGAAGCTTACAATAGTGATTGAATTTCTTGCGTCGCTACTTTTCAGCACTGGCCCATATTACTGTCCCTAAGCAGTGGTAGGGTTAGGACGTGTAAAACGGGACTATTCCCACCTCTCTTTCCCGCCGCTGCAACTCCTGTGTAGCCAGTATCAGCTTGAATAAAAACCCGACCAGTAAAGGTCAAGTTTGTCCCGAGGGAAAGTTGAACTGGCATTGTCCATAAGTCTCGAAGCAGTGGTAGGGACGTAGTACGTCCCAAACGTGTAAAAGTGCTCTTCAGGACCGTACTTTCCAAAATACATGATTTCATTTTGATTTGACTGACGTTTATCCTCTCTTCTTCCACAGACATATTCCGGCCTCTTCTGCGTGGTGGTGAACCCGTACAAGAAGCTGCCGATATACACGGAGAAGATCATGGAGAGGTACAAAGGCATCAAGAGGCACGAGGTCCCGCCCCATGTGTTCGCCATCACAGACACAGCGTACCGTTCCATGTTACAGGGTAAGTAGAGAATAGATTAAACACTATATTTTTTTAAATAAACAACTTGAAATAATCGAACTGCAAGGCGGGACTCGAACCCACGACCTTCCGCTTGGCGGGCGACTGCTCTTCCAACTGAGCTACTTAGACACTGGATGAACCTATCGAAATTTTCAAGTGTTATACGCCGTTATGGCCACGTCACTATATTGTACACCACACAAAACAAGAAAAGAAAGAAATACACAAAAGAGGCAGCACAATTTAAGTTGTCTTATCCGGAGAATAGGTAGGTAATCCGTTATTGACACTTATCAAGTGTACATAAACACACGTGCAGCAGCTAATTAATTAATCTAAGAAGTACTATCCAAGTAAACAAGTATATCGCCATGTAAGACTTAGACAGCGCCATCTCTTGGTATGGCGATAAACTTAAATGCAAAGAACATCTTAGGTTTTTGTATTTGATTTGATAGAACATCTTAGATTGAGGTCTGTATATTAATAACAACAATATCACTTAGGTAGAGATTGAAATAATATCTACATTCAGCACATTTATTACTACATTTCCTAATTAACTAATCAATTGCGCTAGACAATCTAAAGTTCAGACGCCCAATTACTAAACTGAACTATTCAGTCTGGCTAGGCTAGATCTTCTGTCTGATGACCTTTGTGTCCGAGTAGTAAAGTCGGTATTAATAAATTGATTTTACACTGCATTTATATTCAATGGTTTGTGAAGAGTGTGGTTGAAGATGCTATAAATTGCCTTCAGATAAGCGACAAAAAGGAGCTCTGCAATGGATGATGGATAAACTCTTTGGATTTATTTTTTAAATGATAGTGGAATGAAATAGTCCTGGTTGACTGTACATTTGAAACTTTATCTTTAGATTAAAATGCAAGCAGTGTCTCAGGCATTTTAAAATACAGTACTTTCTCTAACAACCTTTTCGAAAATCGTAAGTCACCTGTACCTAAGTGACCTGGATGCGGGCAGCGCAGGTCGGTTGTTATGGAAATCCTTGGGGGAGGCCTTTGTCCAGCAGTGGATGTCATTTGGCTGAAACGAACGAAGTAAACGCCATGGACTGACGGGTGCGTTCTGGCTAGGTTAAAATAACTACGCGATACTGGGAAGACTGCTGCTGTTTGCAACGCTTCTGATAGTTTCTTAAGTTGTCGGTATTACTATTGCTTTTATTTGGTCTCTGTTTAATCGAGCGACTATAATTTTTATTTTATCGTATCTTTTCACGTATACAAACTACAGCTTGTACAGCGCCCGATACACGTAACCTAAACTACATGCTCATTTACACAGCAAGAAATAATAAAGTATTAACTTTTATTACTTTTACATATTTTCCCGGGTGAAATTCTTAGTAAAAACTCTGTAGTGTTCCCGAAACCGAAAGGACGTCTTGAATCTTAACTCGTAACTCATTCGTATCGTCGTTCGCCATTAGCGCACAATTAGTCAAATGCCTTCAAAACCAGTCGCTTATCTATGGCTCTAGTGTTGTCTTTGGTGAACAGACGGGTTGTTTATGCGGGTGATTGGGATATCTTAAGAATTTTCTTTAAACCTTTGAAGAATAATGATAAAGTTTGGTGAACTTTGGTTCATTTGTCACTGTAAATACCCTGATAAGTGTTTTTCATGGCAAAATAGTTCAACTCATGTACAGATAGAGTAAAAACACTTTCTTTAGGCGACGAGCGCGGTTTACCTGAGGAGCTTTTTCAGGCATAAAAACAAGTTTGTTTTAAAGAAACATTTCAAACAAATTTAGGGTTATCCATCTTACTTACCAGAAGTTTTACTGCGTTATCAGAACTTTTTAAATAACCCTTCGAAAGGGTTAAAACGTAATGTGAAAAGGGGAGGGGACAGCCATAAGGAAATGGAAAACAGCCGCGCATCACTACAATGCAGCAATATGAGCCTTACTAATGAGCGACCGGCACTGCCAGGAAACGCCTACGAGTCGTTTCCCAACGCGACACGATAGTAAACAAGGGGGGAGTGGGGTACCACAAATGTACGCACTAATTACCAAGCCGCACCTTTGTTTGGGAGTTTTGAGGTGCAACACAGCTGACATGCCTTGCTTGCATGGTTTTGAGTCATTTAAAAAAATGTGCGCGGTCAACGCCGGACTGGTCGTTATGGAAATATTTGGCTGAAATGAAAAAAATATTCACTTTAAGTATTGTTTTAATTACAGTCGAACTAAGTAGATTCACAATGTCTATTGAAAAACTTACTTGATTCCATTAGCATTAGCGATATTTTATTTGTTGATTCTACGCCTTATGTTCTCGGATTTTTTCGACTTTTTATTCGAACCAGTTCGAAAACACTCCTTAATAGGATGACATTAAATACTGAATTTGTCTTTTAAAAGGATACCTATAGTTTTTTTTATTTTATAGTCACGCTTTTGATGCGTGAATCTGCGTGATGTTCATGATTTATTTTGCGAAAGTGCTCTCTTTTATCCTTATTACGTAATAGCACAGAAGTCACCCGATTAGAAGTATTTTTTATTTTCATGCTCATAGATACTAGATTGAGTAATAGAAACAATGAAAATTGTTTTGTAAAGATAATATGCTGGATATATGAAAAAAAAACAACCCCTTGTTTTTTACATTTGATACCTTGTGAAAGTAGAGTTTGTACTTCTCGTATAATGGCTATAGACAAAAGATAACCAAAGAAAGTGCTCATTACACTAAAACTACCACTGGAATTTGAATTCTCAATGAGAGCTATTGTTTTTATACCTAACAGATGGCACCACTGCCGAATGACATGACCTTACTCTACAGTAGCGCCATCCTGGTGAGTGCTAAACGAAAGCCATCATTGCAACTTACCGTCCATCAACTTCTTTCATCATGGCTTTCGCGTTTGTGTTAAGTTAGCCACAAGTTCATCATCATCATTATCTCAGCTATAGGACGTCCACTGCTGAACATAGGTCTCCCCCAATGCTAGAGCCAAAAGTTGGCAGTCGTCAAAAATATTATCATGCTGATGGTAACATGTCACACTTCCAGATCGCGAGGACCAGTCCATCCTGTGCACGGGCGAATCGGGCGCGGGCAAGACAGAGAACACGAAGAAGGTCATCCAGTACTTGGCGTACGTCGCCGCTTCCAAGCCTAAAGGATCTGGAGCGGTAAGAGCCTTTGATGACCAGCTGGCTGCCAGCAGGAGTTTAGGCTGGTTTTAGTGTCACGCGGACTGTCAGTGCGGATCGCTCCGCACAGCTGATCTGTATGAACTGCTAGGGAGCGGAGCGGTTCCTCCGGACCGCATTGCTCTAAAACGCTCCCTAGAAGTTCATACAGATTGGCCGTGCGGAGCGGGTCCGCACCGGACGGTCCGCGTGACACTAAAACCAGCCTTAAGCCTAGGCGCAGACCACCGACTTTTACTTGGCCCATAGTTGGGCCCGATTCTAATTTGTATGAAGAATCGGCCGATATCAAATCGGTGTAATGGGCGCACTTTCATACATGTTCATACCGACTCAACTATCGGCCAACTAAAAGTTGGTGGTCTGCGCCTAGGCTAATACCGTAAAATTCGATTGAGCTAACTGCGTACCTAGCTGGAATGCGACTCTTTTACCTTCTCGTACACCTCCCCGCGTTCGTCCAGAGCGTCGATGTGACATTACGGATGCCAGGTACGCAGTAAGCTTGGCCGGATTATAGTTTAAAACTGATGCAATAGAATTAAGAAGGCCTAATGAAAGCAGGACCTTAATATAATAAGTCTTACAACTGAGGCAGTAGGATTGAGGAGGATTTAGCCAGCTGGATGCCAGAAGAACAATACCATAGTCTACAACCAAGGCAATAGGAGCAGGCTTTGTTGTGGACCATCTGGATGTCGTGAGTCTAGAACTGAGGCAATAGAATAGAGGAGGCTTTGATATGGTAGCATGTTGAGGACTAAAAGGAAAATAAACTGAGGGAATACGTTAGTTAAACCCAATCGTATTAGTACCATTTTGAGACTTGGAACAGCTAGAGTTTATTAATATGTATTCAAATAGCTATCTCACTTCCAAGGGTATTTGATATTCAAGTAGGTTATCCAGGTCGTTGATATGTCAAATAAAACTAATAATAAAATTCCCCAGTCGTAAAACTGTAGTAGTTACCGCTGATTGCCTCAATGGACATTCAGATGTAAATGCAATTCAGACAGTATCCAATAAAACTAGTATACTGCCTTGTCACGTCTAGCCCGCTTAAGGTTTAAGAAAGATTTCAATCTGTTATACTGAAGTAAATCACCAAGATATAAATCCACATGTTTATCGTGTTAATGAGATGTTATAGGTATCGTAAAGATATAAATTAAGGGCGAGTGCGCATTAGCTGAATTGCCATGTTCGAGCGCTAATGTGGCTCGTTAAGGCGATTACACACGAGGTGAGGGCGTAAATGCCATGCCATTTACGGCGCTCATGTATGACCAATCCTTTTAATCGTTTAATACTGCACTGGGTCAAGAATTTAAAAATGAGAATGTGACTTTTTTAGCGCGCGTACTATTGGTTCGACTACCGTTATCGGGTAAGATTTTGAGAAAATCTGAATTATAGCATTATAGGCTACATTATTATTATACGTAAAGCTCGATTAAGCTACTAATGTCCTATTTTTTTTTTTCTAAATTAGATTGAGTATACCAGCTGATTAATAAGGCTTGAATCATCAGTGTCAATTTGCGCTAGATTTATTAAGAAGTGCATACGTTGACAGATGTATCGTTTGTGTTCGTAGTACGCGACGTGTGTGAATCACCGATAATGTTTTCATATAGCACGTATTGTAGATTACAAACACATAAGCAGAGCTAGTTATATCACGATTGACTGTATTGTCTGTAACTTGTTGCAGTATTTGCTATTGATGTTAAATTGATTTAAGTATTGCATTTAATTTTACTGATTGCTTACACAAAACTGACACTCGTAAGAAACACCAAATTAATCGGTTTTAACTTTTGACTTTGACTTATGGTCCTATGTCCCCTAGATGGGGCAGAGGGCGTCCACAACAGTCCTCCATCTCGTTCGGTTTTGAGCTTCTCGCTTGATCTCGTCGTTGAATCGGTTTTAACGCTTGATTTTTTTTTATGAATTAGGTTTGGTCTAAAATTATCAAAGGTAATTTTTTTCTGAAAAAAAAAACAAAATGTTTTTTTACAAATATCTCAAGTCTGAATAGGTCTCTTGTACTCGTAGCTAGTGTTCTGTAGAAGTTATAAACCTATTGTGATACCTGAACTATGCATTTCATAGTTGATCGCTACTTGCACAATTCCAATTCGACATAAAACAATGGTTCAATACCTTCTCTTCGGAACCATGACAATGCTTACTTATACTGTTTATGATCTAGAAAGTTTTTATTGCATTGTCATACTTTGCGACTTCTATGCCTGTAATTCTTGAATTTTATTTGTGCGAGGAAAGTTTTACGACTTGAATCGAATATTGCATCATTGCATAAAATAAAATACATTTAGTAACAAACGCAGTCGAGTTTAAATAATCTTGCGCAATTTACTCGTGTCCTACATTGGATATTTTATGATTTTTATGGCACCTAACTTAGATGCAATGACCCAGATTGGAAAATTCCAGACAAAAAGCTGTCCTCGTGCAAATGTGTTTTTAATTAAGGTTCTATAAGGGCATATGCTAGATTTTATCGGCGGTTTTGACTGTATAAGTACCCTGTACAATATTCCACATCTGGTGCACCTTGCATGGACGGTGGCATGCTGTACGGCACTGTACTGGTCCTATTGCTACTAGGAATTAAGATGAAGTAACCACGTCGATGAAGAATAGGTTTGGCTCTTGCTCTTAAAGAATAGTGAGTAGGTGAGGAAGATAGAACTACTATCTCGATCTTAAAACACATTCTTCATCTGTCGAATTCTACATTTGTTTTGATTTTACACTAAATGCTATGTGATCCAGTGTCAATGACACTTGAAATATATTCATCATTGTTCTGAAGTTTTACCTTGCTATCCAATTCTGATTGAAGTTCTGTTGAAGTTTATCTTAATGTTTAATATATTTAGAATTTAGTTTCATATTTAGAATGTGGTAGACAGAAATTGTGAACAATATAAAGTATAATTATCATCGCTAAACTAAACTTTTACCTAATGTTTTACCCTTAGAACTGCTATCAAAAGTAATTCATGTTTGGTGTGAAATTGAAGCTAAATGTAGTTTGTTACTACTTTCTTAGGCCACTCACAGTGACATCCAAAGATTAACTTAACTGTAGTAAACGCTAAAAGAATATTCTCAAAAATATGGTGAATCAGACCGCTCCCTTTCAAACGACTGAAATGTGGCTGTAAAATAATTATCATTCGTATGTGAATCAGTTACGCCATTGTATACTTTTTAGAGTCAATGATCTCGAATTCAAAGTCATTGTCTTGTTTGGCAGGACTATGGTTATACTTCACTAATAACGTGAGATTTTACTGTGAGTCGTCAATTATAATGTATTTAGCACGCGTGATAGTTGCAGTTTTACAGGGCGAGTCAAAGTATGGGTCAGTGGGACATCCATGTAGTCTTGAAATGTGTATTTTATTAGAAATTGATAATATACCCAAGTAAATGCCGCTGCATATTTGTTATCAAACTATTGAAGCTACGAGAGTGGCGATTACCGTAAACGTCACTACCATTTCATTCTGACGATCACGTAAGGCAGTCAGCGTCAAATAGTTTGTGACATCCAAAGTAGCCAAAAAGTTCGCAACAAGTCTTTGTTACTTAAAATGTAAACTTTTTGGTCATTTTGGGTGCCACGAACTATTTGCTGACTACGTCCAAGCGTCCGAGTAGCTGATTCCAAGCTTTAGAACAAAGCATTTCGTCAGCAAAAAATGAACTTTACTGTGATCACGACCAGTAGCTTAATATCTACAGCAGTTAATTTAGTTGTAAAATCAAACCATGACGTATAATTTGACTCGCCCACTGTATCGCCTACCCTCAGTCTCCACACTCATGTAATATATTTTTTATTTCCCCACGAACCGCTGCCGCCGCAGGGACCGACTCCGCAGTTGATTATAGTAAGTCCAAATGATACGACCGGATCACGCTTGACGTTGTCTGGAACAGTGGTACATTGTCCTCGGTCTCAAATGAATGGTTTTCAGTAAGACGGTCTTGAGGATGATACTAGATTCACCAAATCTTGAATCAAACTTGTGGTTGAGTCCGAATTAAGTCTTGAGCTTTGCATAATATAAATCAAGAAGTAACTAATTTGTTTAATTAAAAACTACGTAAGATGTCTCATTGAAAATCAACCAGAAATCTGTTGTAAATATTTATTTGAGGACAATTTATCACGATTGGAATGTTCGCTAAATCCGTGGTTTTTTGGGATTCATTAAAGTTTATTGCATGTCCGCATGGATGGGTTTTTATATTTGTAATAGAAAATACTAAAAAAGTTAAATATTTTCCGTATTGACTAGTAATTTATTAAATTAACTATTTATCAAAAGAAAGGTTGTTAACAATCTGTTATCTAAGTTTTATCAATTTACAATAATTTGCCTTTTAATAGTGAACAGTAATGAAAGTAATTAATCGTATAATTATTCATGTAGAAACAGTACCTCATTTTATCGTAATGAATGATATCAGACATCAATATAACGCTCGGCTCGAATCGTAACACGTCATAGAATTAATACATAATGCTTATTGTGTACGTCTTGTTAAATTAACAATCATTAACTCATTAACATCATTAGTAACATTTTAACATTTTGCGACTAGACATAGCTATGTTTGTGTTAAATGGTATTCCAATAAGGTTTTATTATGAGATCGTTACCTTATGTAGCACATTAACGACCGTATTCACAAACATTACTATGAGGTCTCACAGTGCGCGTGGACGCACAGGGTGACACACGAACCAATCACAGATCTCCATTCAAATCTGTGTGTTCGATATACTGCTTCACATAAGCAAGCATCGTTTATGAATACGGGCGTTTGAAAACAACATAGATTTTTAATGAATTTTGTATAAGACCATCTCATAATAAAGCCTTTTGTATGTCGCTAAGATGAATGATCTCTCTGAATACCCCATTTAGACAGATAACGTTTGTCAGTCCGCTCATGAGCATTAACCTTTCATTCCACGCTGCTATCGCCGTAGACCAATGGACCCACGTTCGAGGTAACCGCTAACAGTAACAACATTAACACCATTTGTGACGTCACTCATTGCATCTTTGACTCAGTAAATATCCCATTTTATTACTAAACCGTTTTATAGAGGGTGCTGTTTTATTAGGAGACTTCTTTTTCTGGTTGAAATCTGTGTCTCAAATACGACTCTTAAAAAGTTCCAGTATTTGAGCTATAGAAACACCCTTTAAAGGGAGGTAACTAATAAAATGATGCCCTATTTTATGCCAGTTCTGAGAATTTCTCTTTAGTAAAATCTGCCAAAACCTAATCAATTCAATACTGTGCAAAAATTATTCAACGAATTGGAGACTTTTTTCAGGACTGGCATAAAAGTATCATTAATTTAATCAGTTTGGTGATTGACAGCTTGCATTCTCTACAAGAGGTTTGCTGATCAAATAAGAATTGAGGAATTAATGGAACATGTATATTTTATAGGGAGAGTTGGAACAACAGTTGCTGCAGGCTAACCCTATTTTAGAAGCCTTTGGTAATGCTAAAACAGTCAAAAACGACAACTCGTCAAGATTTGTAAGTATCATAAAATATGTAAGCACCGTCAATCGCAAGTTGACTTGCTGGTCTAATCTACAACGATGTATTTCAGGGTAAATTCATAAGAATAAACTTCGACGCGTCAGGCTTCATAGCGGGCGCGAACATCGAAACGTACTTATTAGAAAAATCGAGAGCCATCAGGCAAGCGAAAGACGAACGGACATTCCACATCTTCTACCAACTTCTAGCAGGAGCGACGCCGCAACAAAAAGCGGAGTACATTCTAGAAGACCCCAAAAGTTACCCCTTTTTGTCAAATGCCGCGTTACCAGTACCAGGAATTGATGATACGGTCGAATTCCAAGCGACTATCAAGTCCATGAATATCATGGGCATGAACATGGAAGACTTCAATTCCATCTTCAGAATAGTGTCGGCGGTTCTCTTGTTCGGATCCATGCAGTTCAAGCAGGAGAGGAACTCTGATCAGGCCACGCTGCCCGATAACACAGTAGCGCAGAAAATCGCGCATTTGTTAGGTAAGCATACTGATATGATAGCCAATTTTCATCGTACATCTCAATGATAGTTTGCTTATGTGCTATTTTTCCAATTGCAGGTCTTTCGGTAACAGAAATGACGAAAGCTTTCCTAAAACCAAGAATCAAAGTGGGTCGTGATTTCGTAACGAAAGCACAGACTAAGGAACAAGTAGAATTCTCCGTGGAAGCCATCGGAAAGGCGTGCTACGAGCGCCTCTTCAGATGGCTGGTCAACAGAATCAACAGGTCCCTAGACAGAACGAAGAGACAGGGTGCCTCCTTTATCGGCATCCTCGATATGGCAGGTTTTGAAATCTTCGACCTGAACTCGTTTGAACAGCTCTGCATCAACTACACAAACGAAAAGTTGCAGCAACTGTTCAATCACACGATGTTCATTCTCGAGCAGGAAGAGTATCAGAGGGAAGGAATCGAGTGGAAATTTATTGATTTCGGACTCGATCTGCAACCGACCATCGACCTTATCGACAAACCCATGGGTATCATGGCGCTCCTGGACGAGGAGTGTTGGTTCCCCAAAGCGACAGACAAGACTTTCGTTGAGAAACTAGTGTCTGCTCACTCCGTCCACCCCAAGTTTATGAAGACAGATTTCCGTGGTATCGCTGACTTCGCGATCATCCACTACGCTGGGAAAGTGGATTACTCAGCAGCACAGTGGCTGATGAAGAACATGGACCCTCTCAACGAGAACGTGGTGTCCCTTCTTCAGTCGTCCCAGGATCCTTTCGTGTGCCACATTTGGAAGGACGCCGAGATCGTCGGTATGGCGCAGCAGGCCATGACTGACACGCAATTCGGTGCCAGAACGAGAAAGGGTATGTTCAGGACCGTGTCACAATTATACAAAGAACAGTTGACGAAATTGATGGCGACTCTCAGAAACACAAACCCGAACTTCGTGAGGTGTATTATTCCAAACCACGAAAAGAAGGCAGGCAAGATCGAAGCGCCTCTAGTTCTGGATCAGCTCCGATGCAATGGTGTGCTCGAGGGTATCAGGATATGCAGACAAGGTTTCCCCAACCGTATCCCGTTCCAGGAGTTCAGGCAGCGTTACGAGCTGCTGACGCCGAACATTATTCCAAAGGGATTCATGGACGGGAAGAAGGCCTGCGAGCAGATGATTGAAGCTTTGGAGCTGGATCACAATTTGTACCGCGTGGGTCAGTCGAAGATCTTCTTCAGGGCAGGAGTGTTGGCCCACCTGGAGGAGGAGCGTGACTACAAGATCACGGACCTGATCGTGAACTTCCAGGCCTTCTGCCGCGGGTTCCTGGCGCGCCGCAACTACCAGAAGAGGCTGCAACAACTCAACGCCATCAGAATTATCCAGAGGAACTGCGCCGCGTACTTGAAGCTAAGGAATTGGCAATGGTGGAGGTTGTATATAAAGGTAAGATTTTTTCTCGATTTACTGTTTTGAAACTGAGACTATTAAATAAAATAGGGAATGTGAAGAATCTAATTGGTATGAAAAATTACACAATCAAAATATAAATTCTCAAAATATGCCTACTTCAATGTTTTCAAAACAACCTTGGCTTGGATTATTGTTGAAAGTTATGTAAATAACTGCCAAGACCTACATGTTCAATAGACTATTATACCAAGTATAATTAATTGTGTACTCGCACCCGCCGACCGCTATTGTCCGTTGAAAGTATAAATCAAGTTTGTTTATATTATTATAAGGGATAATAGAGGAATCTTCGCCCTTTTACAAAAATATCGGTAAGATTTCATAAATATCACACAATCGATTTGTTTGAACTTTGTTTTTCAACTCAAATTATTATTTTGAATTTATGCTAGTATTTTATTAGATATCAACATATCGATATCGCTTAGTAAGGCGATAGATATTAGTTTTAATCTGGGTGGTCATTAAACCTGAATTACGTTAATCTTATATCCTGTTAACTATTCGTTATCTAAATAAGTTCTTTGTCATACATAACATTCTACCCAGATATACAAGCGTGGATTAAATTTATACGTAATCCATGCATAAAATTAAATATTGTACGGGCCTTTTCTACTAACTTGAGTTTTCTCCTTACCTAAGCGACGCGCACATTAGGCGACAAAAAAAAAAACGCTCGTGCAAGTGTCATTTCATAATTATTATTATTCTCCGCGACATGTCGCTAAATTATATGGAATGATATTCGCACGCGTTTTGTGGCCGCGTCTGTCGCGCGATTTGTCTCCCAGTGTGCGCTGTCACTTAGTTTCAAAAGAACACCGACATTGTGTTACAAGTTTTAACTTCTTCTGTCGGATTCCAGGTGAAACCTCTCTTGGAAGTGACGAAGCAAGAAGAGAAGTTGACACAGAAGGAGGACGAGTTACGCCAGATCCGCGACAGGCTTGAGACGCAGGTGAAGCGCTGCGTGGAGTACGAGCAGAAGTATCAGCAGGCCAACGCCGAGAAGACGCAGCTGGCCGAGCAATTGCAGGTGAGAGGATGACTTCATTATTGTTTAATCAGAAGACGTTCACTGCGCAAATATGCACATTGTATTTCAGCTAATGGAGATTCTTATAGAAACGCGTAGCTGTTTGTGAGAATGACATGTTATGTCGCAACTCGATTGCCTGTTTTAGTTACAGGCATAATTATTCAATGGTAATAACGATGATCGCGCATACATAAAGCATCTTGCCTGCAATTATTTTTTACTAAAATGTGACGCACAAAACACAGGATTTGGGAGTAGTGTCCGACCGAAACTAGTTTTACGACCGAAACCGAAACCGAAAACGAATTTCGGCAACGGTGTCTATTTCGGCCGAAACCGAAACCGAAACCGAAACTTCCTTACAAGGCTCATATTTTTAGGGAAAAATAAAGAAAACGTTATTATAATCAGTCAGTCTTTATTGTTTTCTCTTTAAACTGCATTAAAATTGAACTTATAAAGCGCCTTTTTACTCTAAAAGGTATCAAATCATGTATTAAAAAAGAAATAGAAGGATTTATAGTCTATATTTTTAGGGTTCCGTAGCCAAATGGCAAAAAACGGAACCCTTATAGATTCGTCATGTCTGTCTGTCCGTATGTCACAGCCATTTTTTTCCGAAACTATAAGAGCTATACTGTTGAAACTTGGTAGGTAGATGTATTCTGTGAACCGCATTAAGATATTGATGCAAAAATAAAAAAATAATAATAAATATTGGGGGCTCTCAAAACTCAAATTTTTTTTTTCATCAAACACATACGTGTGGGGTATCTATGGATAGATCTTCAAAAATCATATCGAGGTTTCGTTAGTATCTATTGTGTACTTGCCACTTGGATACCTTGGTGATAAATACTAAAATGAACTTTGAAACTCTGAATCCATAATATTATCACCAATGCACTATAGTCATTACTAACTACCTAACTAATGTTTGTTTACGTATAGCATTTGCGAACCAAAAATATTTTTTTTGATGTTTACTACCCGCTCTTATGTTATAACGACATAAATCGAGATAAAACTTACCAAATTCAAAATAAATCACTCGAAAACTCGCTACCACAACAAAACAAAACTAACAGCAAACAAACAAGCGAGCGAATCACGACATTGGCTCTGATCGGATTCATTCACTCTTTCAACGCGCCGAACATGACCGATAACAGCGCGGATACTCCCGAATGCACATTCGGTTTCGGTCGTAGTTTCGGCAAGTTTGCCGCCGAAAACGAAACTAAACCGAAACTCGTGTTTTTACCGAAACTCAACCGAAAACGAAACCGAAACCGAACATTCGGTCGGACACTATTTGGGAGTTAAGATAATGCTATTCTAAAATAGCAGACCTTGAAATAGTCTGGTTAATTCAAAAACATTCTGTTGTAGAATAGTACAAACAGTACTTACTACAAGATATATTCTGTTTTTTCTACATCATTATTGATTCACTTAAAATCTGTTCGTCAGTTTTGAAACTCAATCTCCTTTCATGCTGCTTACAAAAAGAGCACCAGTTTTGCGGTCTTAACTCTTGTTTTCCTGCTTATAATAAAGATTTTCCTCCCCATTCCTTCCAGGCGGAGCTAGAGTTATGCGCCGAAGCGGAAGAGAGCCGAGCCCGCGCGGCCGCCCGCAAGCAGGAGCTGGAAGAACTGCTGCACGACCTGGAGGGCCGCATCGAAGAGGAGGAGGAGCGCTGCAACGCGCTGCACCAGGAGAAGAAGCGGCTGCAGCTCAACATACAGGTAACACTCCACGACCCCGAGCCAGGGAAGCAGCGGCTGCAGGAACTGCTGCACGACCTGGAGGCCGCATCCAGGAGGAGGAGCGCTGCAACGCGCTGCACCAGGAGAAGAAGCGGCTGCAGCTCAACATACAGGTAACACTCCACGACCCGAGCCAGGAGAGCAGCGGCTGCAGGAACTGCTGCACGACCTGGAGGCCGCATCCAGGAGGAGGAGCGCTGCAACGCGCTGCACCAGGAGAAGAAGCGGCTGCAGCTCAACATACAGGTAACACTCCCTACGAGCCCGAGCCAGGAGAGCAGCGGCTGCAGGAACTGGACCTGGAGCAGCGGCACCAGGAGAAGAAGCGCTTGCAGCTCAACATACAGGTACATTACAGCCGGGATAAGCACGTCACAATAAAATATTTGTTCATTCGTTCGTTTCAGCCGCAAGACGTCCACTGCTGGACAAAGGCCTCCCCCAAGGATTTCCACAAAGAACGGTCCTGCGCCGATGCATTCAGGCACCTCCCGCGACCTTGGCGGGATAAAATCTTATAAGAGGCATTTTCTTGACCATCATCAACATCATTTCAGCCATAGGACATCCACTGCTGAACATAGGCCTCCCCCAATGACCCAATGAATAGTAGCGATCTGCATCCATTTTCTTGATGATAAATCACTCGTACATTTTTTTTATCGTTTAAAATCGATTCATCGGCGCATCGATACATTTCAAATGTTATCGACTAAAAGGTCGTAGAATTGATAGCGGTTGGGGCTCGAAGTTGTCGAGTGGTAACCATGGGCTGGAAGACGTAGTATGAGCAGGTCTCCCACTTAGTGAACCACTGATCTGGAGAATGGATGCGGGCAACACGGGACCTATCCTTGTGGAGATCATTGAGGAGGTCTTTGTCCAGCTTTAAGCATTTGGTTGAAACAAACGACTTTATTTAGCAAATCACATGTACTTACTCCAATCCCATCTTTCTTCCAGGACCTAGAAGAACAGCTAGAAGAGGAAGAAGCTGCTCGCCAGAAGTTGCAGCTGGAGCGTGTGCAGTGTGACTCCAAGCTCAAGAAGCTGGAGGAGGACCTCGCGCTCAGCGAAGACACCAACCAGAAGCTGGTCAAGGAGAAGAAGGTAAAATTATTTTTCTTTTTTTTTTTGTCGCGGTGGAAATGCTTTGCGCACCCCTGCCGGGGGACAGGTAAGTGTGTGGGTCTCCCGGCGCCCTAAAAGGGGCGCTACTTCGTCCTGAAAAGGATGGGGTATACCCACTAAAACCTCCGCGGCGTTCCGTCATCGCCCGAGTGGGGGTGTCGCGAGTATCAGGCCCAGAACAGACGGTGAAACGCAACTGCAACAAAACTGCAACTGCTAGTTACTTTTGAGTTGCATCTAAGTTTCTGCCATAGCGTCCGTTGACACATGACGCGACCAGTTTGAAACTTTCAGTTTTAGTTTCATTCATCAGAATCATCAGAAAGTTGCAGTTTCGTTGCAGTTGCGTTTCACCGTCTGTTCTGGGCCTTAGACTTCTGCGACAACAGTAAACTAACTGACTTTAACCCTTTAAGGGGCTGCTGTTACTTGACTTTTGACCTTAAGTGTACGTAGTAAGTATGGTGCAAAATACATTGACTACACATGGCCTTCACACCAACCAGAAGCTCGTCAAAGAAATGGAGGTATAAGAAGGAGACATTCCCTTTAAAGGGTGGATTTGGATTTTAGACCTTATTAAAATACGGTGACAGCTTATGTTACTAAACTTGGTCTTCACTGATGTGGTTCAAGCTGTAGATCCTGGATACACAGGAGTTGCGCTGTGTACAAACTACTACAAAGTTTAAATTGAACTTACAGTGGAAATATTATGATTTCCACGATATTTAAATCTAACCATTTACTATCCTGCATAAAAGTAAGAGCTCAACTAGAGTTTGAACAATCGCGCGCGTTTATCAGACTACTGATTTCAAATGGTTTAACGTAATAATGTATGTTTACAGATTCTAGAAGAAAGAGCCAACGACTTATCGCAAGCGTTGGCAGAAGAAGAAGAGAAGGCTAAGCACTTGAGCAAACTCAAAGCCAAGCAAGAGTCGGCCATCGCGGAATTGGAAGAGAAACTGCTGAAGGTAAGTTAAAATCATAACAATAAGCTAGTTAAAAAAAACGTTGTGTCAATTATATTCTCAAAAAATATTGGACACGTATATTTTTATTTGCTAACTAAACAAGTAATTACGAAGTTATAGTGCGTTGAAGTTCCGCGTGACGTCACAAAGTGCTCCACTTTTAAGCACTCCTGGACATCACGGGTCTCTTGCTAGGACTGACTAATTGTGTCCTATCTGTAGGACCACCAACTGCGCCAAGAGGTGGACCGCGCCAAGAGGAAGCTGGAGACGGAACTCCAAGATGTCAAGGAGCAGCTGGCCGAGAGGAAGGCACAGGTTGAGGAGCTGCAGATTGTGCTCAGTGAGTATATTGGCTAGGATTGTATATAGTCTGGTCGCTGAGCATGTAGAATTTTGTCCAATGACCCCAAGCTACCCATTCTTATCGCTCGCGCGTAATTATATTGCTGTCGCGACTGCGACGGGCGCCCGCAGTGAGTGTGCGAGTTTTTGGACTTTACATTGGTTACTTTAATCAAGGCTGTATTACTGTAATCACTGTAGAGATGGGCACTGTCACTTGCTAGTGGCGAAGAAAGTGTCGCCAACTGATGAGCGCTGAGGTGGACTATCGCATTTGCATTCACGACGAAGGCGCCCCTGTAAAGTAGGGTCTTGTTAATCGCCAGTGGTGCTAATGAAAGTGCTATGTATGAAAACGATAACTCTCATTTGCATTTGATATTGAAAGAGTCCAGTAATAGGTTGTGATTTTGTTGATCCTGCGCATTTTGATGTAACATGTTTTCAAGTTATGTTAGACGGACTCATTTATTCATTTACGTACTCAGAGGACGCTTGCATTGTAAACTTTTATCTACTCAGCTAAGGTAGCTGAATCATTTCTCATGAATGAATGAGAAATGAATCAATCATGAATATACGTATGATTTGTTCACTTCACACTTACAAATTGACCTATTCCAACAGCAAAACGCGAGGAGGAGTTAGCGGCAGCACTAAGCCGAGCCGACGAAGAAGGCGCCGCGCGCGCCGCCGCTCAGAAAGGAGCCCGAGAGGCCGCTGCAGCCCTCGCCGAAGCTCACGAGGACTTGGAAGCCGAGAGAGCTGCCAGAACTAAAGCTGAGAAGCTTAGGAGAGACCTGAATGAAGAGTTAGAGGCACTCAAGAGCGAGCTGTTGGATTCTCTTGATACCACTGCAGGTGAGACATTCTTTCTGTAGTAGTTGTGCTTTCGGATTCGCTTGATACCACTGCAGGTGAGAACCTTTTTAGCATATAGCAGATGCCCTCTAGGACGAGTTACGAGCTGTAAAGGAGCTCATTAGGCCGCTGCAGCCCTGGCTGAAGCTCACGAGGACTTGGAGGCTGAAAGGGCTGCCAGGACTAAGGCTGAGAAGCTTAGGAGGGACCTGAATGAAGAGTTAGAGGCACTGAAGAGCGAGCTGTTAGACTCGTTTGATACTACAGCAGGTGAGGACTTCTTTAGCAAATGACAGATGCCCTCTAAGATATACGAGCTTTATGGGAGCGCAGGAGGTCGCTGCAGCCCTGGCTGAAGCTCACGAGGACTTGGAGGCTGAGAGAGCTGCCAGAACTAAAGCTGAGAAGCTTAGGAGAGACCTGAATGAAGAGTTAGAGGCACTCAAGAGCGAGCTGTTGGATTCTCTTGATACCACTGCAGGTGAGACATTCTTTCTGTAGTGGTTGTGCTTAGAAATCATGAGGACCTCTGGATGCTGAGAGGGGCTGCCAGAACTAAAGCTGAGAAGCTGAGGAGGGACCTGAATGAGGAGTTAGAGGCACTCAAGAGCGAGCTGCTGGATTCGCTTGATACTACTGCAGGTGAGAACTTCTTTTAGCATAAGAATATTTAGCCCTTTAGGACGAGTTGCGAGCTCTTTGGGAGCAAGAGGCGCTCAAAAGCGAGTTGCTGGATTCCCTTGACACTACTGCAGGTAAGACCACTTTACAACATTAAGACAACTGTTCTGACTGAGGTCCTAGTAGACAACAAGGCCGAGAAAGCTACCTGTAGCCAGGCTGCTAACTAAGGAAATACTTTATGAAAATCTCAACGCGTGAAAGGCTAAAACTAAAACACTGAACTGATTAAAATAACATTGAGAAATACAAAAATACAAAATACAAAATATTTTATTCATAAAAACAAGTCACATAATAAAGAGAAATATTCCTGTCACGTATTAATTTAATCTTTTCTCCTCACAGCCCAACAAGAGCTCCGATCAAAGCGGGAGCAAGAGGTAGCGGTCCTCAAACGCAGCCTTGAAGAAGAGGCGGCTTCACATGAAGCCACGCTGGCCGACCAGCGGCACAAGCACTCGCAAGAGCTCACGCAGCTTAACGAGCAGCACGAGCAGATCAAGAAGGCTAAGGCTGGTGAGTTCTACAATAGAGTCCTTAGGAAGGCCATCTTAAAAGGCTCCATTTCATTAAGACACCATGGCGGCGAAAGGCCTAGTTCTGGTTTTAGTGTCACGCGGACTGTCAGTGCGGATCGCTCCGCACAGCCGATCTGTATGAATTGCTAGGGAGCGGAGCGGTTCCTCCGGACCGCATTACTCTAAAACGCTCCCTAGAAGTTCATACAGATTGGCCGTGCGGAGCGGGTCCGCACCGGACGGTCCGCGTGACACTAAGATCAGCCTAGGAGGAGGCGGCGTCGCATGAAGCCACGCAGCTCAACGAGCAGCACGAGCAGATCAAGAAGGCTAAGGCTGGTGAGTCATACAATAGAGTCCTTAGGAAGGCCATCTTACAAGGCCCTATTTCATTAAGACACTATGGCGGTGGAAGGTCTAAGAAGAGGCGGCTTCACATGAAGCCACGCTGGCCGACCAACGTCACAAGCACTCGCAGGAGCTCACGCAGCTTAACGAGCAGCACGAGCAGATCAAGAAGGCTAAGGCTGGTGAGTCATACAATAGAGTCCTTAGGAAGGCCATCTTAAAACGCCCCATTTCATAAAGACACCATGGCGGCGAAAGGCCTAGTTCTGGTTTTAGTGTCACGCGGACTGTCAGTGCGGATCGCTCCGCACAGCCGATCTGTATGAATTGCTAGGGAGCGGAGCGGTTCCTCCGGACCGCATTACTCTAAACGCTCTCTAGAAGTTCATACAGATTGGCCGTGCGGAGCGGGTCCGCACCGGACGGTCCGCGTGACACTAAGATCAGCCTAGGAGGAGGCGGCGTCGCATGAAGCCACGCAGCTCAACGAGCAGCACGAGCAGATCAAGAAAGCTAAGGCTGGTGAGTCACACAATAGAGTCCTTAGGAAGGCCATCTTAAAAGGCTCCACTTCATTAAGACACTATGGCGGTGGAAGGCCTAAGAAGAGGCGGCTTCACATGAAGCCACGCTGGCCGACCAGCGCCACAAGCACTCGCAGGAGCTCACGCAGCTTAACGAGCAGCACGAGCAGATCAAGAAGGCTAAGGCTGGTGAGTCACACAATAGAGTCCTTAGGAAGGCCATCTTAAAACGCCCCATTTCATAAAGACACCATGGCGGCGAAAGGCCTAGTTCTGGTTTTAGTGTCACACGATCTGTCAGTGCGGATCGCTCCGCACAGCCGATCTGTATGGACTGCTAGGGAGCGGAGCGGTTCCTCCGGACCGCATTACTCTAAAACGCTCCCTAGAAGTTCATACAGATTGGCCGTTCGGAGCGGGTCCGCACCGGACGGTCCGGTATTTAAAAAAAATGTATGATCAATGTCGTTAACAATATGGTGTGACAAACGTCAGTGATAGCCAAGAAGCCATAGGGCTGACTTTGGTAAAATGATGATACATACATAGTTTATTGTCTTTACAATGCAAATGGGTGAAGAATACACGTGCGTGCGTCAATGCTCGCTTGTGATTGTCCTGTCGATTAGATATCTCAGGAGGTGTAGTCGCGCGTGTTTTGTTTTCGATACAAACTCGCGGAGATGAACAGGCCTGGTTCTACGTCTTAATATTATGTAGCTCCGTACGCCGATGGAGCAGCAAGGCTCTGATGGATGGCTCTGAAGGCAGGCCGCGCTACCATACAGTATTATCATATTTCTAAATGGTGGCTTGTTCAGCATTGGTGTTTAGGCCACCAGCAGAAGCCTGAACTAAAAAAATATTGCCATACAAATAGCCAATTTCTTAGGAGTTTTTGTTCAACTATGGATTTTTGCGATTGCATAAAACCTATTGACAATCAAAATGTACACAGCTGACATTGACAGAAAAAAAATCGCACCTGCCATTTCCAATTTCAAAACGCAATCAATCAAACAACGTCAAACTTTTCGACACGCCGTCTACAAATATTTTGCACATTTTTCGCGTAAATTTTATTTAGTTGTTAGTTTAAAGTTTACTATGCTAGAGTTATGGCTAGCGTGAAGGAGCGGAGGCAAAAGAATGTGAAGTTTGGGTTCTCTAAGGATGACACTTGTGAGGTGGAGGACGCGATGTTCCCTCGCGAGGATGCTAACTCGTTTAGTTCGGCGAGGGACTACTGGCAGCACATGTGCCGGGGAGGATCGTCGCCTGAGAGGAAACACGAGTCTATCTTGTGTACGTTTATTTGATTAAAATTGTTAATGTTAAAATAGCTACATGTTTATCAATATGATAAAGGTGGATTTTCAAAGACCTTAACTAGGTAGTCCCAAATTTTGATTGGAGTAATCTTTTAGAGAAGCCGTGAAGTTGTGCTTTGGAATTATTTATTCTGTCAATGTCAACTATTCAACTCAGANAAAGCAGGATAATTATTTTTATTTATAATGTTGGTTGGAGAGGCGCCCGCTGAAAACCAGCGTCGGGGCACGCGTGCATGCACGCGTGGCTCGATTAATGCTGAGCGGGCGCCTTTTTGGCACAAAAATATGCGTGTATAGTTTTAAGTCCCTTTGTTCTGTTTTTTATTTTTTTCCTTTTTTGTGTCAAATAAAGTTTTTCTTATTCTTATTCTTATTCTTTTCGCTTATGGCAAGTCTATACGGCCGGTAGACTATAGATTGGTCGTCTTGCAAAACTATTTTCATTTGTTCTACTGATGTACAACCTAATTCAGAGAGTTCAAAAGCAAAACAGTCGCGATACTCATTCAACAATGTTAAGAGTTGCTGTTTTTCTTCATCGGATAGATCATTATCTATGTTCAAATCCGCGATAGTAATAGGATTTGATTTGTATGCTGATACATTCATGACGTTCAAAGCTTTAGTGGTAACATCTTCATGAGCTACATGTCCACGAGCAATTAGGAAGCCCTGTTCTAATGTGAATTTCAATGATGGAGAACAACTCGCAACAATTTGACCCTGGCCTTTAGTTATGTTAAATAACCCGGATGAAACAGAGTACGGAATATCATTTTTGAGACGTAAACTTCCTTCAATATATATTTCTCCATTAAAATCTGGATTATCTGTACAAACTTCGATAATAGTTAAGCCTGAAATCTGAACTACGTTTTTACAGTAACAAAATTAACGCGTGAATTTTTTATAGACAAATGTAATTCAATATAAAAAAGTAGGGTAAAATATTCCGTAGACTTGTGGCAACACTTACAAAATACAACCGTGATTTTTTTTGAAAATTATTATTTAATTAAAATGAATTGGAAATGTGCTACTTACGGATAAAACATGTTCCCATGCACTTTCTTCGTAATTCCAGTAGCATTCCTACATGTTGGAACGGCACAAGACGGCATAATTTAATTTTAAAGTGTCAATCTGACGGATATGTAAACAATGCGCGCGCCGGCCATTGACTAATTGCTCTAAAGTCAAAGTAGTGCGTTTTGGAGTAATTTATATGAATACACATTTACGCCCGTTGACGGTTTCTGGTTTGTTCCGTATTCTGAGCTATTCAATTTGAGTGCCACAATCACTGACTCTGTATCGTACTTTGGCACCTTCAGAAGACGTGGTCCTTTAGAGAAACTAAAGTCTATTTGTGTTGCTATTGCTGACCATACCGTGTTCTCTTGTGTAATACCCACTTGCCGTACGTACTACACCGGATTTTCTTGTGTACACACTTATCGTATACCGCATACTCTTCGTGTACATATCACATACACGTATACCGGGTTTTCTTGTCTACCTCTTATCACTTAACGTGTCCTCTTATGTATCCATCGCTGACCTTGTACCTTTCTCCAACAGCGCTGGAGAAGCAAAAGCAAACCCTAGAGGCAGAGAATGCTGACCTAGCGACCGAGCTGAAGACAGCGGCGGCCGCGCGTGCGGACGCCGAGCGCCGTCGCAAGCAAGTTGAGGCGCAACTGCAAGAGTTGGGAGCCAAACTACAGGAGGTGGACCGTGCCAGGTTAGATACACTTGTCATAGAAGTTTCTACTTTATGTTCGTGGGGGATGGTCCAAAATTTAAGATGCAGACCTAGCGATAAAACTGAAGACAGCAGCAATCGCGTGTGCCGAAGCCAAGCGCCGCCGCAAACAAGTTGAAGCACAACTGCAAGAGTTGGGAGCCAAACTACAAGAGGTCGACCGTGCCAGGTTAGATACACTTGTCATAGAAGTTTCTACTTTATGTCGGTGTTATACGGTTCAAAATTGAAAACATAGAGCTAGCGATAAAAATGAAGACAGCGGTAATTGCGTGCGCCGACGCCGAGTGCCGCCGCAAACAAGTTGAAGCGCAACTGCAAGAGTTGGGAGCTAAGCTACAGGAGATGGACCGTGCCAGGTTAGATACACTTGTCATAGAAGTTTTAGAGTTTATGTCCGTGGTGGATGGTTCAAAATTGAGAACGCAGATCTAGAACGAACTGAAGACTACAGCAGCGGCTCTCGCGGACGTCCGTCAAAATGTTACTCTCAGATATTGCACCTTGTTATAGCGAAAATGTATATTGTAACGGCAGTAGCAACGGCACGGACTCCAATAGATTGGGTATCTCGAGAGGTTGCGCGAATGTTGTAGATATGCGCTTTGAATTTCGGATTAACTTCCTCGAGGGCTTCGTCGTAACCTCGAAGCGCGTCGTGTATTGGAGACTTAAGGTTACAGCACACCAGACTAAATAGTAGTAGTAGTAGGGGTGATTTTGTTAGAAAATTACCCCTACTAAAGCTCTGTCTGTGAGCACGTAGAATTTTGTCTAAAGACCCCAAGCTACCCATCCTTATCGCTCTCGCGTAATTATATTGCTGTCGCGACTGTGCGACGCGCGCCCGCAGTGAGCGTGCGAGCGCGACAGCAACATAATTACGCGCGAGCGATAAGGATGGGTAGCTTGGGGTCACTGGACAAAATTCTACGTGCTCACGGACCAGGCTTTAATTTCCTCGAGTGCTTCGGCAAAACGTCGAAGCGAGTAGTGTATTGGAGACAAGATTCACAGCACATCAGACTACATTTTTATTGCAAAGTCGCTTATTATTTCGTAATATGGTTTACCTTGATGTGCCGTCGCGTCGTTCGTTTATCCATCATTCTGTTTCCCACAGAGCGGAGGTAGCGGAGAAGTGCGTCCGTCTGCAGAGCGAGGCGGAGACGGCGCTGCAGCAGCTGGAAGCGGCCGAGTTGAAGGCCTCCGCTGCCGCCAAGCAAGCCGCCACCATCGGCGCACAGCACAGCGAGGCGCAGGTGCGTCATCATCATCATCATCACTCACGAGGCTATTCCCACCTCTAGAGGTGGTAACACAGGAGTTGCAGTGGTGGGAACTAGTTCCCACCACTGCAACTCCTGTGTAGCCAGGATCTACAGCTTGACCGCCACAAAAACCCAACCAATGAAGGGAAGAAAAAGAAGAAACTATCATCACCACTCGGCTCCCACAGCGAGGCCAGAGTAAATACAAATGAGTAGGTCATCTTCATAGAAACGCACCGAGCGCGGTTTATATGTGAGCGCGCCAATATACGTATGCGGCGCGCACGCACACCCTGACAAAATTCGGCGCAACCACGACTGGCTCCCCGCTTCACGCTAAATTTTATCAGTGTGTGCGTGCGCACCGCATACGTGTTGGCGCGCTCACATACAAACCGCGCCCGTGCGTTTCTATGAAGATGACCTACTCATTTGTATTTACACTGGCGAGGCGGAGACGGCACTGCAGCAGCTGACGTAGACGGCGCAGGTGCGGTGTCTACGTCATAGTCATCATCAACACTTATCATCAGCGCACTACGATTGCCCGAGCAACTGCACTCAGGAGGATTTAATGAATGCTGCCGACAACGCCACTCTTGTAGCGGAGTTTTGGGCTGACACTGTAGGTTTGTTGTCGACACGATAAGAAGAACGCACTACGATTAAGACCCCGCAGACTGCGGTTTCCAATTCGTATGAGGAATCCCATACGTGTTCATACTGATCAACAGCCCGACCAAACTATCGCCTGACTGAAAGTTTGTAGTCCGCGAGGAATAAAACTACGCTAAAACTCGTGCGGCGGGGGATGGGCGTGTATTTTTTTTTATGTGACAGGAGGCAAACGAGCACATGTATCACCTGATGGTAAGTGATTACCGTCGCCCATAGACACCCGCAGACCCAGGGGCATTACAGGTGCGTTGCCGGCCTTTAAGGTGAAGATACGCTCTCCTCTTGAAAGCTTGCAGGTCGTATAGGGGGATGCACGCGACGAGTGCCCGTCGCAGAACGTAGGCCGGCTACGGGCGTCCAAAGTAAGCACCCGCTCCGTGCACCCGCCCAAATTTTTGCATAGTTCCTTATGGCTGGTTTACACTTATTAAGTGGTTAAGTAGGTAACTAAATTTTTAACTTAATTTTAAGTGATCAAATTGCATCGTAACTAAATTTTAACTTAATTCCAAACGTCAAGCTCTTGTTTACTATGAAACTGCTTGTCAAAACGTGTCAAGTGACAAGCCCCGCCCACCAACTTGGCAGAAAAATCAAGTAAAAATTTAGTTACCTCTTATCTACTTAACACGTGTAAATCAGCCATTAGGCTAAAGATTATTAAACTTTGTCATAATCTTTATTATTGTCCAGCCTTTATGTTCCAAGACTTCATTTACAGAGACCATAGGCATCGCGTGGCGTGGCGTGTCGCGCCGGATGTTTTTTTGTTTACCGTGCGGTGGCACGTAAACTGGCACTTATCATCGCACCCGTAAACACAAAACCAAGCTTACTAATTCCGACTATTTTGTTTCTAACTTCTATTTATCTGTGTGTTATAGGCGCTGCTGGAGGAAGAAACAAAGCAGAAGCTCTCGCTTCAAACGCGTCTTCGCAACGTGGAGGCGCAGCTGGAGCAGGCGCGCGACTCGCTCGACGAGGAGGACGAGGCCAAGCGCAACCTCGAGAAGCAGGTAAGGACCTTATTATCGTGGACTTAGAGTTCTAACTGGCGTGGCAGTAATGCAAATTGGCGTTCATTTTTCAACCTTATTGAACGTGTCTACAACTAACTTTTTCGCTCGACGAGAGGAACAGGCCAAGTACAACCTCAAGAAGCTGGCACCTTTTTTTATCAAAACTAGAATTTGAAATACACTGTGTCAGTAGTTTAGCCATCACCACATAATTTACGAATATTTTTCGAGGGTATCGGTGCATCCTTTGCGCCAACTTTGCTGCACGGGTTTTCTCTTCTGGCCCTGGTTAAAAAGAACCCTCGACTCGCCGAAGCGGGTTGCTCTATGCCGCTTCTCAATCAGCTATGCTAATCAGAGGAGCACCAAGAGCGGTCCTCCAAAAAACAACGGTACAGCCCTAACAAGTTCGGATTCTAGAACAAAAAATAACCTCATTCATGCTTCAATCCCCAGGTGGCCGCCCTAACCCAGCAGTTGGCCGACGCGAAGAAGAAAGCAGAGGAAGAGGCAGAAGCGGCGGCCGCCATCGAAGAACAGCGCAAGAAGCTGGCCAAGGACGCCGAGGCGCTGCACAGGCAGATCGACGAGCTGCAGCAGGCCAACGACAAGCTGGACAAGAGTGAGTCATCAATAATACCTACTATTTATTACTGTATACAGGGTGGAAACGATAAGTGATCTCACTCGATTATTTCTAAACTATACAAGATATCCAAAAACCGGTTACTGATCCTGAAAGTGCTTTACGAGCTCTATCCAACGGTATCAATAATAGGTTATCAAATAAACTGGATCTATCCGAAAATTCAATGTTTCCGGCTTCCATACATTTAGTAAAACCACATAATATTAAAAACTATACAAGATATCCAAAAACTAGTTACTGATCCTGAAAGTGCTTCACGAGCTCTATCCAACGGTACCAATAATAGGTATCAAAATAAACTGGATCTATCCGAAAATTTAATGTTTCCAGCTTCCATACATTTAGTACTGCCACAGTCATGGCACTCATGTCTTGATTGTATTATAGCAAGTTAAGCCTAAAACCAATGTATTTCATGAATAATTTTAAACAAGAATGAAATTTGGAGTTCAATTTAAGTGTTTAATATTGAATAAAAAAAAATAACACTTCTAATATTGTGTGGCTGGCATACATTTAGTATGGAGCCTGAAAACATTGAATTTTTGGATAGATCCAGTTAATTATGTAACATATTACTGATACCGTTTGAAAGAGCTCGTGAAGCACTTTCAGGATCAATAACCAGTTTTTCGATATCTTGTGTAGTTTAGAAATAATCGAGTGAGATCACTTATCGTTTCCACCCTGTATAAGCTAGTGCCTGAGGTATGGGAGCGGCACGGGAGAACATTGCCATATTATTATGACGTGACAGAGCATACAAACTCTGAAGCATAACTGAAGCACAGAATAAGTAATACTACAGGTACAGAAGGATTACTCCGCAAGACGATTTAAATAGATGCGAGTCTTGCTACGACGCGATACAGTGGAATTCAGCTCGCACAGCACTACGTACCTACAATTTTATTCACATACAAGTTTTGTCTCTTTCTATCGCGTGCCTCTGAACTCTTCTTACGCTGTTAGGGTTGCTGTCTAGTGAAAAAATAATTAATCTACTTATTTGTAATGAGGTACGTATGTAGGTAAGTAGGTACGCATTCATTATAGAAAACTTTGGGAGAGGCCTTTGTCCAGCAGTGGACGTCATTTGGCTGAAACGAACGAACGCATTTTGAGCAGTAGTCATGGTAGGCTAGGTTCCTATACTATCCTAAGAATTATTGATTACCTACATGGCCAACATACCTTTCAGCATCTTTGAGAAGCGAAAAAAAAGATAAATCCGGTAGATTTATTTTCGAATTTAAACACCCGAACGCCGCACAATATTTATTTCTCTTTATGTCCATTTTTAAATAATACTTCGATTATAGAATTAGGTATTACAACGCACGCCAGCGTCTATCTTAACGAACCAGTGCATCAAATGATTCTATTCCTGTATTACATGAACAAAAATAATGAATTTTTATGAAGTCATATTAATATATTGAAAAATGTGGTCGACGTATGCATAAATTAGTAATAAATTCGTTTCTGTTTTGCGCTGGCGGATACATTAATTTTCTTTTAGTTTATAAAGCAAAGCCGACAACATGTATCACGTTGAGGCCTGATAAATGCCCACTGAAGTACAAATGCTTTATTTTTCTGTAAATTCTATAGATCTAACTGCATGTTTTATGATTGTAGGCAAAAAGAAGATTCAGGCGGAGCTGGAAGACACAAACATCGAGCTGGAAGCGCAGCGCGCTAAAGTGCTTGAGTTGGAAAAGAAACAGAAGAGCTTTGATAAGGTAAGATAGATTTTTTGACAAGTGCAATAACAAAGAAAATTTAAGTGAATACAGAATGAGGCTATCGTTTTTATACTTAACAGTTGGCACCCCTGGCGATTGACAGGACCTTACTCTGCAGTGGCGCCATCTTGATGAGTGCAAATGCGATAGTCCTCTTACCACTTTCGCGCTCACCAGTTGGTGCCACTGTCTTCGCTACTAGCAAGTGACAGGACCTTACTCTACAGTGGCGCTAACTGGTGAGCGCTAAAACGATAGCCCTCATTACTCCACCTTTTTAGGTCGGTTAAAAGAAGCCCGCTCAGCAGCGTACGAATAGCTGCAAAGTTACAAACGTGACCTTTGTCTGGGCCCTCTGAAGTTAATCTTAACATTTTATGTGGCTGCAATATTCTAAAAATATTTTTTTAATTGATGTAATGAAATTCCGCTTTCTGTTTGTCGGCCGTTTGGTGTAGTGGTTCGAAACGGACTACTATTCCGGAGGTAGCGGGTTCGATTCCCGCATAGTACAAACATTTGTGTGCATGAACATATTTGTTTCTATTGGACTGGGTGTTTTCTATGTATAATAAGTGTGTATTTACAAAAAAAAAGTATTTAAGTATGTTTATATCCGTTGTCTAGTACCCATAGTACAAGCTTTGCTTAGTTTGGGACTAGAAGCGCGGTGTCAAATGTCTATTAAAAAAAAATCCAGTCCTATTTCAAGACATATGTCTCTAACTACTATTATTTTATCTTCAGGTGGTGGCGGAGGAGCGTGCAGTAGCGGAGAGGTACGCAGCGGAGCGCGACCAAGCGGAGCGCGAGGCGCGTGACAAAGAGACTCGCGTGTTGTCGCTTACGCGCGAGCTCGACGATGCCGCTGAGAAGGTAACCTTATTGTCTATCTAGACACGCGGGAGCGTGTCAAGCCAAGTCCAAGCAAAGGAACTGGCTAGCCAGCGCCGAGTGTAATAACACGAACCACTTTTGACCCTTCTCTAATTGATCCTACGGAATCTTATCTCTTGTTCCCACCAATGCAACTCCTGTGTAGCCAGGATCTACAGCTTGACCGCCAATAAAAACCTAATCAAAGAAGGCCAAGTTTGTCCCACTTTTGATGCTATCTTTAAAATCAAATTCTTCTCAAGGTACTGTACACAACTCAAATACAGATTTCCCTATCACCAGTGTGTGTGGTGACTAGGGGCTAGTGCTGAAGATTTTGAAGCTGGTGGAAACCTTTTTCAGCAAATATGCTAGTGACCCCCCTCAAATATAAACATGAATCTTTATTTTATATATTTTTTCTCTCATCTAATTTTACCCTCACTTGTCCCCAGATCGAAGAGCTAGAACGGACGAAACGCCTGCTCCAATCCGAGCTAGATGAGCTCGCGAATACTCAAGGCACGGCCGATAAGAACGTTCACGAGCTGGAGAAAGCCAAGCGCGCGCTTGAATCCGCCCTGGCCGAGTTGCGAGCGCAGAACGAGGAGATCGAAGACGACCTACAGCTGACAGAAGACGCCAAGCTACGCCTCGAGGTCAACATGCAGGCCATGCGAGCGCAGTTCGAGCGCGACCTGCAGGTATGATATAGTAAATACACCGTGTTACTTTGCATTCTTGCCATATTCACAGAGATAAAAGTAGGTAACAATACCTATTATTTAAGACTAGCTTTCCGCCCGCGGCTTCGCCCGCGTGGAATTTTGTCTGTCACAGAAAAACTTTATCGCGCGCGTCCCTGTTTCAAAAACCGGGATAAAAACTATCCTATGTTCTTTCCCGGGACTCAAACTATCTCTATGCCAAATTTAATCAAAATCGGTTGCGAGGTTTAAGCGGGAAAGCGTAACAGACAGACAGACAGACAGACAGACAGACAGAGTTACTTTCGCATTTATAATATTAGTTGGGATAAACAAGAGACTCCCATAAAGAAAGTACACTAAGATTTTAGTAAATTTGGTTTTTCAGTACAAATTGGAATAAACCAATTTTGTCTCGCACGTTCTACAGGTGCAAGTGGAATAAACCTAGTGGGCGTGGCCTAGTCCTATTTTATGGCTTTGGGTAACAGCCTTTTTATCCAGTCATAATAACTATTTTGAAATACTCTTCAGTTGATTTCAGATTTTCCTTTCACTATTTTCTGACTTCACCATACCATTTATATGCCCATGTTAACATGGGCTAGTGTCGGCTCATATACCTATTTACCTAACATCCTGTAGAACCATAGTACACAGAAAGGGGAACTCGTGACGAGTCTTACTACAACGCAATAAAGTGTAATTTTAACCCCTTGGCGATAACATTTGGGCGACAGCGGAGCGAAGACTTGCGACTTGCTGCGCAGGCACTGACGAGCCGACGACGCCGCGACGTTTGAAAGACGCTAATGTGGGGCCTATTCCACTTTGATCACCCAGGTCATCTTATCCATGGGTGATCAAAGGACACAAAATTGTCGCTTGGAGTCCATTTTGATCACCTGGGTCAGTCTTTCCCAAAGTGGGCGATAACGCCCCCTTGTGGGCGCTGCAGGCTTAAAGGGGGGCGGTAAGAGACTCAGAAAAAAAAATCGGGATGTTGTATAGAGGCTTGGGAGGCGTCATCTACTAGGAGGACTCTTAGACATCGACTGAGCTCGACTCTTGACTACAAAAATGGGGGGGCGCTAAAAAATAATTTATTCTCAAAGTGGGCAGTAGACTGAATAAGTTTGGGAACCACTGACCTGGGTGATCAAAGCCAGGAATGAACCTAATTTGGGGGTGGTATCAACCCAGTATCATCCTACTGTATGCAACTACTGTCACTGTCTCGACTTCGGCGGGACAAGTGACCTTAGTAAGCTCTTTAATTAAGTCACTCAAATATCATTATGTTCAACATTTCACCTATATTTCGTTCTTCCAGGCCAAAGAGGAACAGGGCGAGGAGAAACGCCGCGGCATCGTGAAGCAACTACGCGACTTGGAGGCCGAATTAGAAGAGGAGCGCAAACAGCGCGCCGCCGCCCTGGCGCAACGCAAGAAGCTTGACGCAGACCTCAAGGATGCTACACAAGCATTGCACATGGCTAATAAAGTGAGTGCTGGTCCTTTGAGCCGGATATAGCTGGAGGAGGAGCGTGCAGCGCAAGAAGCTCGACGCAGACCTCAAGGACGCTACACAGGCGCTACACATGGCTAACAAGGTGAGTGCTGCTCGCGATGGTCCTTCGAGCAGGATGTAGCTGGAGGAGGAGCGTGCAGCGCAAGAAGCTCGTCGCTGACCTCAAGGACGCTACACAGGCGCTGCACATGGCTAACAAGGTAAGTGCTGCTCGCGATGGTCCTTCGAGCCGGATGTAGCTGGAGAAGGAGTGCAGCGCGAGAAACTCGACGCTGACCTCAAGGATGCTACACAAGCGTTGCACATGGCTAACAAGGTAAGTGCTGCTCGCGATGGTCCTTCGAGCCGGATGTAGCTGGAGGACGAGCGTGTAGCGCAAGAAGCTGGACGCTGACCTCAAGGACGCTACACAGGCGCTGCACATGGCTAACAAGGTAAGTGCTGCTCGCGATGGTCCTTCGAGCCGGATGTAGCTGGAGAAGGAGTGCAGCGCGAGAAACTCGACGCTGACCTCATTGATGCTACACAAGCGTTGCACATGGCTAACAAGGTAAGTGCTGCTCTTGATGGTCCTTCGAGCCGGATGTAGCTGGAGGACGAGCGTGCAGCGCAAGAAGCTCGACGCTGACCCCAAGGATGCTACACAGGCGCTACACATGGCTAACAAGGTGAGTGCTGCTCGCGATGGTCCTTCGAGCCGGATGTAGCTGGAGGAGGAGCGCACAGCGCAAGAAGCTCGACGCTGACCTCAAGGACGCTACACAGGCACTGCACATGGCTAACAAGGTAAGTGCTGCTCGCGATGGTCCTTCGAGCCGGATGTAGCTGGAGGAGGAGCGTGCAGCGCAAGAAGCTTGACGCTGAAGGACGCCACACAGGCGCTGCACATGGCTAATAAAGTGAGTGCTGGTCCTTTGAGCCGGATATGGGCTTGGCTGATAAGATAAATTAATTTATTTATTTGCACAGAAACATGGTATATGGAAATATAATCAAGCTCGACATGTTTCGTCTTGTCAAGACATGCAAACATTTTAAGAAGTCAAACCATCTATAACAATTATAAATAATCAATTCATTATTATTTTCAACTTGAACAGTCAGCACTCTTTGTTGTCCTAGATTTTAAATAAAGGTCAACAAAGAGTGCTGACTGTTAAAGTTGATTCTTTGAGCTGGATATAGCTGTGAGTGCTGACTGTTCACTGTAGACTGTAGTCCTTCGAGCCGGATATAAGTGCTGGTTTCAATAAATTGTCTTTTTCGTCACTCTTTCGGACGTTGGTGATCTAATCATTGGTCTTCGGCGCAGGATCTTTCAGTGAATCGAACTAGCAAGCTATTGAAGGTGGTCACTTAACTTTTCCATTTTGCTATTAATTGTATTTTGGACTGTGTTTATTTTTATGCGAGCGAGGTATGGTTCCCGCGCCCACTCCATAGCGCGTCCAAATTACCGAGCTAGTTTTGTCCGCTCGCACAGTGTGTGTGCAAGCGCGACAGCAATATAATTACGCGAGAGAACTTGGGGTCTTTGTACGGAATTCGATCTGCTCGGCGACCGGACTTCAATTAAGCAGCTTTTACAGAAGTGCCATTTCATTTATTTATTAGGTACACCAACAAAGTCATATACATACAGTTCATACATTTTAACATCACGATGATTTTAACTATTATCTTCCCTTACAGGTCAAAGAGGACGCGACGAAACAAGTGAAGAAGCTCCAACAGCAGCTCAAAGAAGCCGCCCGGGAAGCGGAAGAAGCCCGAGCGGGCAAGGAAGAGGCCGCGGCTGGAGCCCGCGAGGCCGAGCGCCGAGTCAAGGCGCTGGAAGCCGAGGCGCTCCAGCACAGCGAGGAGCTGGGCGCCGCCGAGCGCGCGCGCCGACAGGCCGAGGCCGAGCGCGACGACTTGCTGGACGAGCTCACCAACCACGCGGCCAAGGTACGTGACACAGCGGGAGCGGCTGGAGCCTGAGAGGCCGAGCGCCGCGTCAAGGCGCTGGAAGCCGAGGCGCTCCAGCACAGCGAGGAGCTGGGCGCCGCCGAGCGCGCGCGCCGACAGGCCGAGGCCGAGCGCGACGACTTGCTGGACGAGCTCACCAACCACGCGGCCAAGGTACGTGTGACAGCGGGAGCCCGCGAGGCCGAGCGCCGAGTCAGGGCGCTGGAAGCCGAGGCTCTCCAGCACAGCGAGGAGCTGGGCGCCGCCGAGCGCACGCGCCGACAGGCCGAGGCCGAGCGCGACGACTTGCTGGACGAGCTCACCAACCACGCGGCCAAGGTACGTGACGCAGCGGGAGCGGCTGGAGCCTGAGAGGCCGAGCGCCGAGTGAAAGCGCTGGAAGCCGAGGCGCTCCAGCACAGCGAGGAGCTGGGCGCCGCCGAGCGCGCGCGCCGACAGGCCGAGGCCGAGCGCGACGACTTGCTGGACGAGCTCACCAACCACGCGGCCAAGGTACGTGACACAGCGGGAGCCCGCGAGGCCGAGCGCCGAGTCAAGGCGCTGGAAGCCGAGGCGCTCCAGCACAGCGAGGAGCTCAGGCCGAGGCCGAGCGCGACGACTCGCAACCACGCGGCCAAGGTATAGTTCCAAAATACTGAACTGTCCCATCGATGACATTGACAGTGGGGCGCCACCGTCAATACCGAATCGCTGGTTCCGATTGTTGCCATGTTGGAAACCATATAGTTGAACGATGGTAGCGCCCCCGTGTCATTGAGTTTGGTGGGACAGTTCAGCGTGGGTCATCTATACGTGACATAATGTCAGCAAAGTCGGGAGTGGGCAGGAGGTACAGAGTACAGTTAACTACGCATCTGGAAGCCGTGGCGTTAGGCAGGGTACTCACCTGCCATGTAGCACGTAACGTAGCCCTAATTGTATACCCATTCTTATAAGATACACCATACAAGAATGCATGGTAAATTCAGTGAACTGCTCCTGAATCGAATGTACCTACTATTACTATTTCTATTTATTTATATTAACCGGCAGACAGTGGTGACTGAGTTTGTTGCGGCGCTTCTTCTCAGCACTTGCCAAATGTTGGTCTCGAAGCGCTGGTAGGGTAAAAAGATTATGAGACATGTAGAGGCTCCTCAAGAGCAAAATGACGATTTTTAAGAACTATTTATTAGTCTAAACAAATAAAGAAATTTTGACTTTGACTTTAACTTTGACTTTGTAACGTATCCAACCTTCAAGTGAGTACGGCTCGTCCACGGTAATCGTGTATCTGGCTGCGAGCTCCTGAATCCTACTGCGAGCCACCTTTGTGCTCGCAGTGATACCGCCACTCGGCGGGTCGCTGCGATCTCCCTGCGAACCACGCGCGAGCAGCTCGCAGCGGGCTCGTGCCTATGTCCTCACTTGATACAGTATCTGATACATTACATGCTACACGGCTAGATGAGTAGCCTGCTTTACAACGCCGTTCTGGTACGGACGAGGCGAACGCGGGAAGTTGTGCGGGTGAGTGCCAGAGAGAGACGCATTCTAACGAGGTTGGCAGTTGGATGTTTAACCCCTGGATACTATGCTGTCACTAGTCAGTCGATGCAAGCAGGCACGTTCCTGCGTTCAACGACTGGCAATGATTCGAAAAGACATTGTTTGCTCGAGTTTAGAGGCGCAGTTAGCTCTTAACGAAATTATTCAAATTATAGATGTATGAATCCGTCTTCTATTGATGCACTTTTTGAGATTATTACTCTTCATAATGTTGTTATAAACCGATTACTTTATAGCAAAACTAATATCAATTTGTTTTTCCAACAGACCACACTTCTCGTAGACGAAAAGAAGCGCTTGGAAGCGCGGATAGCGGCCCTCGAAGAAGACCTGGACGAGGAGCAGTCTAATAACGAGATCCTCAACGACAGGCTTAGGAAGTCACAGGTAAGCTAACCATTCATGCCTACATGTGTATATGCAAATTCCTTTTTCTACAACAGATACAGCAGAATGCCCCTTTCATCACAGCTGTTCTAGTACCTATTACACTCGACATCAAATAAATCGCACCTCCCGCGACAAGCACTTACAAACGTATGCATCCCCACTTCCCACCAATATTGGCACCATTTAAAAGCCTAGTTCTAAACTTCATTTCATTAAAGGAAAAGTTTTACCCCAAAAATGTGTCTTTAGAAGGATCCAGAGTCACTTCTTCAAAAAATAGGTGAGCCAAATTTTATGGCTATAAAACTGTTAAGTTGGGATTAATCGCTATCCATCTGTTAAAGAGAACACGTATGATCATTATTTGGTTTTATAACCATAAAATTTGGTCTAATTGATCCCAGAGGTGAGCCCAAAGTGAGGTCTTTTTTCAAGTCACTTTTATGGTATATGTTAATCATTTATTAATCAATTAAATGTGTTTTTCTTGAAGGATATTTATTGGGCTTTCAAATAACACCAATATAGTTGGGGCACCATGATTGTGTCAGAAGAAAATCTTTAAAGTTCGCGTCGCGGCAGGTGCGGTTTATTTGATGTTGAGTGTAGATTACTTTATTTTCCTAGCTGTTGCTAGATACCTGAATGCAGAGTGAGGTTTCAAATATCCTGCTACAGAAAGTGAGGAATGTGCCTGAGAGATGTGTACAAAGCGGTGTAGCTAGCTCGTCGTGTGCACATGGAAACAAGCCGCTATACAATGTTCCTTGCATAGCTTCGGTGAAAAAGGACACAGCGTTCTACAACTAACCTGCCTCTTTTTACGATACTTTTTGCTCGCACATTTCATGGAATAGCAGCCTTTAACATTTCACAACCTGGCGATAGATCGCCGAAATGCTATTTTCTTTTATTTGCCACCATAATTATGTTAGCGGCGTGCTCAGATGTCCTCAATGTGCGAAGGGATTCGACGCGAAGATTGATACGTAAGCCATCTTCGGGCGCAACTGCTTCGCCAAGACAGGAGCGAAGTTGTTATTATGGCTGAAATTGGTCGGACGAATCATTTCGTTGCCCTTAGATTTTCCCTCTAATATTTATGTTACGCTCTAAACCAGTCTTTCCCAAAGTGGGCGATAACGCCCCCTTGTGGGCGCTGCAGGCTTACAGGGGGGCGGTAAGAGACCCAGAAAAAAAATCGGGACGTTGTGTAGAGGCTTGGGAGGCGTCATTTACTAGGAGGTCTCTTAGACACCGACTGAGCACTCGACTCTCGACTACAAATGAGGAGGTTAGGAACAAAAGGTGACATTTACGTATCAGCTTCATTTTTTTTTAAGTTTTTTTTCTTACTTGGAAGGATAAAATTCTATCATTATCTGCAAGACATTGGTTCTGAAGGTGCTTAATTTCATAGAAAAATCAACTTGAACTACTGCTTTTGAAACAAAAAGTTACATTTTAATTCAATCTCAATAGTGATTTGTACATAATAATCAAAAAGTGTCATTTCCTTTGTAAATATTTCTGAGGCTTTTAATGTCGGATCAAAATGGGTACATTATTTCTTAAAGAATAACGATTTGCCCAAAATAAATTATGACGACAGGTCGAATCGATATGTTTAATCGAATAACCTTATTATATACCTTGTAATCTATGTCTATGTTTAACAAAATTTTAAAACATACATGAAAACTTTTAATACCTTGTAATCTATGTCTATGTTTAACTAAACAGTTTGGAGAAAACTGGAAAAATGATCCTTCTTTAAAATGGTATTGTGATATCTTGTATGAAAATAATATAAGTGAAAATGACAAGTGGCAGTGGGCGGGATAGCTCNCACTTATGGAGAATACAAAATTGTAACAAAATCAGTATTTCAATATCACACAAAAAAATTATGATCACCTACTTGAATGGCGCGTCAATTTTTAAGAGAAAATTTTGATGCGCTCACTTCAATCATTAATTACACACAACTGAAAAGAATAACTGTCAATTTTTATTCCTAGAAGCATAGACCATATCTATTGGCTACGACTTGCATCAATCAGAGCACTGCATCTTTTCACGTGTTAATGTATAGAATCAAATTAAAACACACAAAAAAGTGGTACCATATGGGACCGCTAGTCTATAATGGGTTAAGTACATTATTTCAGATATGGTCCAGTTTGCACATTAGGCAACAAGGTTGATAACAAGAACTACACAAATAAATAGTGTCCTTAATAAACAAAACACCGATGACTCCAAGCATAGAGAATCTAAAAGAATAGTGTGTTAATTTAATACTGTATTTTGTAACAAAAGTAGCAAGCAACTGACATTATTTGCAATCTCCAAACATTTGTATTTGCTTTCTAGCATCAATTGATGACAGATCATCCTCTTGGCATTATCCAAGATCATCTTACCAGTATCCTCCTCATCAGATGGAATATCTTTCAAGCTCGCAGCAATCATGGCGTCTAGATTGGCTGAGGCGACCGGAGCGGGCTTCCTTGGCCGGTGGCGTTTTGGTCCACCTCCGCTAATGGCTGCCAGCTCTGCTTCCAAGTCCACGTCATCGTCGGAGAGATCCATTGGCTCGTCACCATCGTCATCTATATCTACGTCTAGTAGACCAAACTGGAATAGTAATGATAAAAACATTTCAATTAATTACATTACATCATCATGAGAAAATTAAAAACAAAATTATTGTTTTTTTTTATAAATGTTTTCTTTAAACAGTCCACAGACTGTTTAAATAACTGTTTTTGCAATCAAAATGTTGTTGAAAAACAAACATGAATCATTTCGGTAATATAACATAGATAGAGATAAAAACTACCTATCTCTAATATTTGTTATTTCTCTGATAAGTTAAACAGTAGTAAATGTAATAAATACACTATTGTTAGTTGACCTAGGAGACTACAATGCGTTTTTTTGTTAGAACTAGGTTCCCACAGTTCAACGGATGTATCGATTGTTTCCTTGCAGAACAAACTAAGGAGATCTAATTGGCAAAACAAGTACAATGACCTATTGTTTACAGACTGATTAACAACTTAAAAATCAAGCTACAACTTCATGAACTCTAGCTCCATTCACCTCACGCTCATCTTCTATAAATAAACCACATCACACATTATTCCATTAGTCGTAGAAATATCATGATAAAGGATCCGAAGGACAAACAAATCTTTTCATGACTCACCTGCGACAAGTTGGTTTTTTTACCGGAACTGGGCTTTTTAAACATTTTGGTAGATGACGTAAGTTAAACCCAAACAACGCTTTAATGAAAACCAGCTGAAATTGATTTCTACTAATGCTTTCGTTTCTTTTTCTCAACTTTTTGTAAGAAAAATAGACTGCACTCAGCAGCTGCTCAATGACATTTGAGAAAAGCATAGAGAAAAGGAGAAAAGTTCATTGCTGTCACTTTTGACAGCTTGGGGCGTGAAAAAACAAAAAATGTCCAAAATGATAGCTCGTAAAAACTTCAGATAAAAAATATCTCAAAAATCTTATTAGAAAATATGATTCAATTTTATTTTCTTACAGAATTTAATTACTTCTAGATGTATTATTTTTTACATCAGTACCTAATTAACATTACTCATTTCCAAACCCGTAAGAAAAAGTTAATAAAGAGTTGCCAGATGTCTGCAAAAACTACTATTGATCGCAAATAGTGGTAGAAATTGAAGAAAAAATATTTAAAAATTAGTACGATTTCTTGAATGGTTGATGAAATGGAGTTATTGAAATGATTTGAAAAAATATCCTTTGTTAACTGAAGTACCAAGTGGGCCCTAAAACTAGTCTGAGGATATTTTTTTCTTCACAAAATATATTTACGGTATTTGACAAGTGCAACACACAAATCATCGCAAGAGTGACGTATGAACGGCCGAAGAAACGAAAACGAAAGAAAAGCCTTTCTGTGCCGTTGTTATCTTCTAATAATTCTGAAGAATGGAGACAAACGGCCAGGCTAATGGGCTTAAATCTAAAAAGAAAGATAATGGCGACGCGAAGGACAATTTTTGGTAACGATTCACAGTTCATTTTTGTAGTAACATGCAGCCCCCATATAGGGGGATCCAATGTGTCACACCTACGTGATGTCAAGCCTCGTACCTGAGAAATGTGTGACCTAGCTGCAACGTCTCTCTTTTGTATGCAAAGTAACTGTGAAATCTCATTATTGTGATAGGACCATTTCACCGTCAGTGACGCATCATAGGTGAGCTGTCACCTATTTCGCATACGAACTTTCGATGACAGAGATAACTTTTCAGGTCTTCGGTCTTGGAGGAAGTCCAGAATCAAGGGAACACAAAACTACCTTCAAACAAAAATGTGTTAGTTTTGGGTGATAATGAGACTGGCAAAACCACTTTGGTAGCAAAATTACAAGGAGTAGAGGACCCTAAGAAAGGGTCGGCTTTGGAGTACGCATACATAGATGTTAGAGATGAATACCGGGATGGTAAGTGTTCCCTGAAATTATTTTTCTTGTCAGTCAAAAGTTTGTCTCCATACTTACTATGGCATGTCAGCAAACACATGCCTTCTTCTTAAAAATGCTAAACAAGAATAAGCGCTAGTCTATATCCCATACTGTAACTGTAAACTAGAAATTGTCTGGTTCATTAACTGAATTTGAGGTTATAAATATCCTTGAGCAATGTAAACTGGTGCAGAAGTTGGAAATATAATTCTAATAAGAATCTATCTTAATCTTTAAGAAATATGCTGACAAACATAAAGAAACTGATTGTGGAATATAAATATGTGTAACAACAGTAAATGCATTAGACATGTTCCATCAAACTAGGACCTCTCATTTTACTTTGGCCACGGATGTGAAATGTAACTAAATCATTACTAAACTGAAGTATTCTGTCTTGTGAACTGTTCTTCTTTTCTAAGTACCTACTGTAATGCTCCTAGTTTTAAGTTTCTCCTATTGCTAGTATTGATAAATAGATAAAAAAGCACTCTGGTTGTATGAGGTAATCCTCGCCGTCCTTGTCAAAGAGAAAGAGAGCAGAAAACCAATTTTATAATTATTATTAGATGTGCAAGCTTGACAACAGTTTATAATAATTAATATCAAACATACAATGACAGGCCGCTAAAAAACTAGTCATAAAGTAATTAGATATTAAAGTATTTATTCATAATAATGTGATATGGAATAATAATCAGACACTGCTCCCAGACCTCATCTTATTATGAGTATGGATGGCCTTTGTAGATGTAAAGGGGAAGGAAAATTAAATCAAAAATATTTATTCAACTTAGATCAGTATTTTGGCATTTACAAACGTCAAAAACTATAAAAAATAATAGCCCTTAAAATATTTTAAACTATTATGTTGCATTTTTTTACTATAAAACGTCGGGAGGGTAAATATTTTATTTACCGTCTAAAATAGATATATTGTTGCAATAAATCCCGTGAAGTGATAATTTTAATAGCCCTTAAGTTGCATGTTACATGTAATTTACCAAATATATGTGAATAAAATGTATTCTTCATACAGATCACACACGTCTCAGTGTATGGGTGCTGGACGGTGATCCAGGACACACGAACCTGCTCAAATTCGCCCTTAACGAGGATACATTCCCACACACACTGGCGCTTCTCACGGTTGCCATGACGACGCCGTGGGGCGTGCTGGACCAGCTGCAGAGCTGGGCATCAGTGCTCGGCGACCACATAGATAAATTGGATCTCACACCTGGTTCGTAAATGTTTTTTTTTACCTGGAAGCTTTTTCATCTAAGACTGGTTTTAGTGTCACTCGGACTGTCAGTGCGGATCGCACCGCACAGTCGATCTGTATGAACTGCTAGGGAGCGGAGCGGTTCCTCCAGACCGCGTTACTCTAAAACGCTCCCTAGAAATTCATACAGATTGGCCGTGCGGAGCGGGTCCGCACCGGACGGTTCGCGTGACACTAAAACCAGCCTTAGGAAAATCTGCTTACACTCCTTTACTTTTAATGCAAGTATAGTCATCTGCACGAGAATATATTTTACACTTTTGGCAGCCTATCTTGAACTTTTTACTTGGAGTCATGCACTTTATATCAACTCCTTCCAGTCAAAACTTTTAGTTTACTTACACACAAATTACTTAAAATAATGCAACATATAAAAAAGCTCTTCATATTGTCCTGAAAGTTAAGCATTGATACTAAATCAATCAAGATCTGATAAAAATATACTAGATATCCAAACACCCTGTATTCATCTATAGCTTACCCAAATAGTGCATTACATTAACATTCATCCCAAAGCATACTCTTTTCTTGGTCAATGTTTGTACAGCTGCACCAAACTGTTGCAGCATTTATTTAAAAAAAAAGAAGGTAGCACTTGAAATAATAATCACCACACTTTTATTCAAACACACTTTCTTTACTTGATCTCAATATTACAGCTATCAATAATACAAAAGTATTTTTGGATCTTCATGATATAATTAACTACCTAACTACTTCATTTAAAGTACTGGATACATAATGGGCCCTTGTGTAATCCTAGTAAAAGTGAATTTATTTAATTTTCTGTTATAATTACACCCAATTTTCATATTTATTATATTCTTTAGTGTTTGCTTTCGATCACTATAGATCGTGTCATTCACGAAGACGCGCCCCACCATTATTCTGCTTATGTTTGAGTGTTATCGATACACGCTAAATTAATGAGTGCACACGCACACTACAATAATAACGCTCTGATTGCTCGGATCAAACTCCCCGCATCCCGCGCTTCCCTCGATCAAAAAATGGTGGGGCGCGTCTTCGTGGATGAAACGATCGAAATATCAACAAGAATACAATAATTAACATTATGTTCTGTCATATTTTATGAAAAGTTCAGCATACTGTCTACAATATTTGTCACAAAAGAACTTAATGTGTCAACAGTTGGAGCCACTAAAAGAGTGGTTCAGTTGTTTAATAACTTGTTAATAAATATCTGTGCAGTTTAACTAATTAATTTAATGCTATTATAAAAAAAAAATATTATTCAGGTATACAATCTTACACAATATACATTTATGGATTTTTATTGTTTTTAAAATTGACAGCTTACCTACTAATGAATGGTAATAAAGTAGTGTGCATCTTCTTTTGTGATTAATTTAATTTTAGTGAGAAATATCATATGAGATGATAAAATTGTTTGAAGTTTTCTACTTGTTCTTATAGCAATTTTCTGTTTAAAAACGCTAAAGAAAAAAAAACAGAGCAGAGATTAATTATTTTCTTAACTATAAAAGTAACTCTAGTATTACCATCGCCATAACCATTAAACAATCGCTCGTAGTAAGAAAAATCACAATACATAATTACGATTACGCAAAATACTCCAACTGAAGTCGCCTATTTCGTGGCCTCAGTAGTAATGAGTCAGGATGCATTGATGCATCCTTATTAGATTCTAACTAGCTGCATGTGTCAAGGCACAGGGATTAATTACGCTCATCCAGTGCAGTTTGATCTCAAAGATAAAGGCAGTAAAGTGGTAAATTGGTTGCGTTTTGTTCAATGTTTATCTTTGTATTGGTGGTTGTTTTATGATCTTTGATCTTAATTGAGAGCATGGAACTCCTTTTCAAAGTAATGTAATAATCGATTTAAGCGTGAGTAAACCTCCATAGAACAGTGGTTAGTGCGTTAGATTTTCGACTTGATAGGTAGTTTTGAATCCACATTTAGGTGCTTTCATCTGCACTTAGTAAATTGCATCTCAAAAGCACTATCATAATAAAATTAAATTTTAAAATACATTATGTCGTGCAACAAAAATTTAAAGTCTGATCTGTCCCAATCCTATACATTGTTTTTAAAATGTATTTTTTTTTCTTTTTTAGCACATTTCTGTTTATACAGTAATGTGGTGCAGATTGACTAACTATTGTATTTGCATTACGCAACTTTCGCGTGTAGTTAATTCTTTGCGTTCTTATTTATAAAAAAAATCTAGCCATACAGAAGCGATTACGCGCGCCAATAATAATTACTTTCCGCTTTATATTGATCATCAAAATCTAACAATGTTTGCAGTAACGCCGAAAGTGTTAATAATGTAGTCTTGAATCCCTCTATACCGCTTCCCAAATGCTTTTAAGTTGTTTGGGTCTCAATACAATGTTTATATTCTGCGCTGAGTCAGACGTTACGTCAGTCTTGTCGCGTAATGCATATTAAATCAACGCTATAAGACTGGTTATCGGCGACAGTTAAAGTTTTATTTAGACCACATGGTTGTGAAGTTATCACATCTTTATATCCTGTGTTATAGAAGACATTATGTAACAAACGCTGTGTGCGGATTTATGAATTACATAGACACTACATACACATTTGCCCGCGTAGCTAGCGGTCTCTTACAAAAAAGCACTATCGCGTCGCGCGCACCTCCCTATCAAAAACACTATACCAAAAGCATAATACTTAACGATAAAAATATAATCGATTGATTGACGTGAGTTTTTTAGGTCCTATTTATTTCAAAACCATAGTCAAGAAATCGTAAACTTTATCAAACAGAGGCACAGAGTTAGTAGGTATTGATTTATTATGCACAACATGCAGACAATATGCTTATTGTTTTAAGTAGATGTGTTTCCTGCAGTACTAAATTCAGGAAATTCTTTGCATGCGTGCGGTCTATAGATTCCAGAGAAGTCTGCATGCATAGTTTTGATATTTATTTATGAGTACTTGAAAAAACTGTATTTTATCTTATTTCAAATCTCTTGGGGTTCTTTAAAGGTTGGAGATAATTCATCATTTCAGCCACAGAACGTCCACTAGGTACTGAACATAGGCCTCCCCCAATGACTTCCACATCGCACGGTTGGTAGCGGCCTGCATCCAGCGCCTTCCTGCTACCTTTATTAGGTCGTCGGTTCACCTTGTGGGTGGACGTCCCACGCTGCTCATGTATCATAAGAAAAACAAGAACTATCCCTTTTTGGAGGGTTATAATTCCGAACATGATTCCAGTCACAATTCAGCTGAAAGATTTATATTCTGTATTATGCATGAAAGTAAATTCCGTTTGTGTTTTCAGCGTGAATTATTAGTTTATGCCGTTTGGACATATAATTGCTCAGAATTGAGGAGGTTAGGAACAAAAGGTGACATTTACGTATCAGCTTCATTTTTTTTAATGTTTTTTTTCTTGGAAGGATAAAATTCTATCATTATCTGCAAGACATTGGTTCTGAAGGTGTTTAATTTCATAGAAAAATCAACTTGAACTACTGCTTTTGATACAAAAAGTTACATTTTAATTCAATCTCAAAAGTGATTTGTATATAATAATCAAAAAGTGTCATTTCCTTTGTAAATATTTCTGAGGCTTTTAAGGTCGGATCAAAACGGGTACATTATTTCTTAAAAAATAACGATTTGCCCAAAATAAATTATGACGACAGGTCGAATCGATATGTTTAATCGAATAACCTTATTATATACCTTGTAATCTATGTCTATGTTTAACTAAACAGTTTGGAGAAAACTGGAAAAATGATCCTTCTTTAAAATGGTATTGTCATATCTTGTATGAAAATAATATAAGTGAAAATGACAAGTGGCAGTGGGCGGGATAGCTCGTAGAGACGATGGCCGTTGGCGCGGGAAAGTTCTCGAGTGGCGACCACGGGCTGGAAGACGTAGCGTGGGCATGCCTCCTACTAGGTGGACCGACGATCTGGTAAAGGTCGCGGGAAGAGCCTGNCGAGACAATTGGCCAACTATCCGGCCGCCGGATATCCGGCTATCCGGCCTAGCAGCTGGCCGGATATCCGGTATCCGGTATCCGGCCAAACAACTATCCGTTTCATCTCTACTAAACAGTTTGGAAAAAACTGGAAAAATGATCCTTCTTTAAAATGGTATTGTGATATCTTGTATGAAAATAATATAAGTGAAAATGACAAGTGGCAGTGGGCGGGATAGCTCGTAGAGACGATGGCCGTTGGGGCAGGAAAGTTCTCGAGTGGCGACCACGGGCTGGAAGACGTAGCGTGGGCAGGCCTCCTACTAGGTGGACCGACGATCTGGTAAAGGTCGCGGGAAGAGACTGGATGCGGGCAGCGCAGGACCGTTCATTGTGGAAAACCTTGGGGGAGGCCTTTGTCCAGCAGTGGACGTCATTTGGCTGAAANTAAAATGGTATTGTGATATCTTGTATGAAAATAATATAAGTGAAAATGACAAGTGGCAGTGGGCGGGATAGCTCGTAGAGACGATGGCCGTTGGGGCAGGAAAGTTCTCGAGTGGCGACCACGGGCTGGAAGACGTAGCGTGGGCAGGCCTCCTACTAGGTGGACCGACGATCTGGTAAAGGTCGCGGGAAGAGACTGGATGCGGGCAGCGCAGGACCGTTCATTGTGGAAAACCTTGGGGGAGGCCTTTGTCCAGCAGTGGACGTCATTTGGCTGAAAAGAAAGAAAGAAGAAAGAAGAAAATGACAATGAAAATGATGAAAATGGATGTGACTGCTTAGAACCTGATTGTGGAGAACTTCATGTATAAGAATTTAAAATAATAATAAACACATTTTTTGTATGGATATTGATTTGTTTTTGTTTCTAATAGTGACATTTTTCAGACAGCAAGTTTCAAAAGGTAACATTTTACAAAACTATTGAATCAAGTTTTTCCTTGATTCATACACCAAACACTACTTATATTCCAAATTTGAAGCTTCTAGGTCTGCTAGAAGTGCCTTAGAATTTTGATGATCGGTGAGTCAGTGAGTGAGTCAGTGAGTCAGTGAGTCAGTCAGTGAGTGACAAAATTAAGTAACTTTGACCCGTTATAATTCTTAAACTACTGGTTCAAATTGAATGAAATTTTAAATATACCGTGTCTTTACAATGCCTGCATAGCTAATGAAAATTCAGCCTTCTAGTTTTATCCACAACGAAGTTACAGGCGGTCGAAAATGGCCTGAATTGCTTCGAGAAAAGGATGGTACGGCCGTGCCGCTTTTTTGCTCGACTTGGTGGGGGCACTGCCGTGCCCCCAGATCAAATGGTGACATTTACTTGTGACTTGATCAAAAGGTGACATCTGATTTGTTCTTTATTTAATTTTGTGTAAATTTTAAAACATACATGAAAACTTTTAATACCTTGTAATCTATGTCTTATTAACCCATAATATTAAAAACAAAAAAAAAACAAAACACATAAAGTTCAACAAAAATATTTATTTTCTTAATTTATTCATATAATTAAAAAGTGTAAATGTCACTTTCTGTTCCTAACCTCCTCAAGTGATAAATCTATACTAATATTATAAATGCGAAAGTAACTCTGTCTGTCTGTCTGTCTTGCTTTCACACCTAAACCACTGAACCGATTTTGATTAAATTTGGCATAGAGATAGTTTGAGTCCCGGGAAAGAACATAGGATAGTTTTTATCCCGGTTTTTGAAATTTTTTTTTCTGTGACGACAAAATTCCACGCGGGCGAAGCCGCGGGCGGAAAGCTAGTCTGTTAATATGTATAATGAAATTCACCTGTCTCTGCCTCTCGAGGCGGCGTATCTCGCGCACGAGCGCGTGGAAGGCGTCGTCGACGAAGTGGCGCAGCGCCGCCGACGTCTCGAAGAACGGGCAGCCCAGCTGCGTTGCCAGGGCTTTGCCTTCTTCTGTGCTTACCTGGAAAACATTTCATATTTAATAATTATTAAGGCTTTTCCAAAATGTTAACTTACCCCCGTTGTCTTAGAATCTAGATCAGTGGTTCTTAACCGGTGGTCCGCGGACCACTGGTGGTCCCTGGAGGCATTCCAAGTGGTCCGCGAAGACATCGTAGGAAACAAGTCATGTGACGTGATGCGTCGAACCAAAACAACGCAAACGGCGCACAGTGGGCGAGAAATCGACCTCCGCTTTCATAGGATTTGAAAAAAAATTATTCTTATTCTCAAAATGACCTTACCTATACACCCAAGAAGTTTGTGTAACCTTCCGTGGTCCCTGACAAGACAGAAATTGGGTAAAATGGTCCCTCATGACTTAAAGGTAAAGAACCACTGATCTAGATGAACGACAAACGCGACAACGCGACGCGACATCTAGGACAATGGGCAAACAGCATTGTTATGCTTCAGTAGTTAGTGGTGAGATAGCCAGTTTCTCTGGGGTTGAGAAATCTGAATAAAGCTTGCTTTTAGCAGCCTTATCATATTGTGAGTAATTAGAAGCTTTATACTATTGACTTCACTTGTTTATAACTTAACTTTTCACCATCAATCCCTAATTTTTAAGTGACCCCTATGAAAACAAAATTACCGTTGTTATGTGTTACCATAAGGGTCACTTAAAAATTAGGACTGATGGTGAAAACGGGCATAAGTATAACTAATAGAATAGAAAAGTATGAACTTCATCAGAATGATTTTAGTAGCTGGCTGGCTGCTATCAAACATTCAATATGGAAATCATTTGGGGTGGCTTATGTTGAGCAGTGGACGTCATGAGGCTGAAATTATGCACAGCACATAAGTCAATATAACTCACTTGTCTGAACCGCGGCGCTAGATCCAGCTTGTTTCCAACGAGAACTAACGGGAGCCTCTCCGACGGCCGCGCTTGGGCTAGCAGCCTCCTATACTCCGCCGCAGCCCGGAATGACCGCCGGTCCGTAACTGATTAGCAGAGGACGAAGCCTTCGCCACACCTCATGTACTGTTCTTGGATCTATTAGGATTACTCGTAGCACAAAAACCACTGACTGGTCTGAACCGCGGCGCCAGATTAAGCTTGTTTCCAACCAGCACTAATGGCCTCCTCAGCCTCCTATACTCCGCTGCAGCCCTGAACGATCGCCGGTCCGTCACCGAGTAACACAGCACGAAAAGGTTCTGGAGTAGACTAACGTACCGGAAAGCGCAGCATAGGATCCACCCACAAGGGAACCGATGAGTTAATAAAAGTAGCTGGAAGGCGCTGAATGCAGGCTGCTATCAAACGTTCAATATGGAAATCATTCGGGAAGGCGTATGTTGAGCAGTGGACGTCATGAGGCTGAAATGATGATTAGACTAACTCATAGCACACAAACAACTCACTTGTCTGAACCGTGGCGCCAGATCCAGCTTGTTTCCAACGAGAACTAACGGCAGCCTCTCCGATGGCCGGGCCTGGGCCAGCAGCCTCCTATACTCCGCTGCAGCCCGGAACGAACGCCGGTCCGTCACAGAGTAGCAGAGGACGAAGCCTTCGCCACACCTCATGTACTGTTCTCTCATGGCTGTGAACTCCACCTGTGAAGATGGATACACTTTTATTGTACACCAAAGAAAGCTCAAAAGCTGACAAAAGGAAGACAAAATCGAAAAGGTACAGTTTTGGTGGTTGTGACGAGGAAAAATGTGTGAAGAAGATATGGTATATTTAGCATGATCATCAGGTCATTTAGTCTCCACTGCAGGAAACCAGCCCTCTCTGATTAATTAGAGGGATTGAGGATTTGGCTTACTCTCTCCTTGTGTCCTGAGTATACATTTACACACAAGTTTTTACTAAAAATCTATTTTTAAAAAGTTACTACAAAATACACAAGAATATGCTTGAAATGTAAACCAAAAATAAAAACCAAGCAGTTACATATCTGTTAAGGAAAAATATGACTGTTAAACTTCTATTATTAACCCAATTCCCATATCATTTTCCCTTTGTGACTATAATATGTTCTTGATATTATGATAAATTATGTCTGTATGTCATTTTAATGAATTAACATAATGAAATTTTCAAATTTGAAGTATAAAATGAAGATTTTGAGTAGTAGTCACTTTTGTCTTAATAATCTACACTAATATTAAAAAGAGGAAAGATTTGATTGTTCATTTATTTGTATAGGCTCCAAAGTGAATGGACCGATTTGTTAAATTCTTTCACTGTTAGAATCCTACATTAGGTATTTCTGATGAACATAGGAGGTGAAGTTCGCTGGATCTCCTAGTAATTTAATAAACTAAATTAATTATGACAACTTTACCTGTCCTGCTGTGTCCAATATATCCAATAAAGCAGGTTCTCCGTCAATTACGGCTTGCTGCTGATACGAATCCTCTGTAAGAAAATATGATATTCGATATTATAACAAGTTATGTTACAGAACTTAGTAAGAAACTATCTTATTGTAAAAGCCAAATTAGTTCACTAAGTTTAACTTTGATGTGATTTGTTACTACATACAGCTAAATATTCATACATGTTTGATGGGTAAAGTAGTTCAAGCATAAAATTAAGCACAATCAAACTTGTCACAGTAATAATGTTACTCTTCACACAAAAATTACATTTCAATCAAAATTGAAATGCACTACACCGTAACAGCTGTGCAAACATACCTATAGTAGGGTCATGGTAATCCAAGAAACTGTGACTGACGAATTGCAGCGTGACCGCGGATTTGCCGACTCCCCCGTCGCCGAGAACCACAATCTTGTAGACGCGGAGGCCGCGCGACGTGCCCGCAGCCTCGCCCGCCATGCCGCTGCATGCCTGACCCTGGGGCTCCAACTGCGAGCCTCGCCCGCGCCCACCCTCACTCCCAGCCCACCGCCATCGCCCGCCGCACACTACTAACACCACCGTGGCTGATTTACAAAACACGTTTCACAAATTACAACACACATTTATCCACACATTCTGTTAAAATTAAACAACAAATAAATTATCTGTCTTCAATAAAAAATCGACAGCTGATTGAAGGCGATTGACATTTTGATTTTGATTATTTGTTTTCTTATGTTGGTCAACTATGTCCAAGTGAAAGGACATAAGATATGGGTTCATTCATTAATACTTTTATGAAAAACGTCGAAAAGTGTATTTATTTTGTTATTTAAGTTACAATTATTGATTTTATAAACAAAATTAATGTAATTACTTTGTATGTAATGTTGTTGGTATACCGTAATAAATAAATAAATAAAATCAAGTATGATTTATGCGCTCATAGAAAAAGAAATTTATACGCAAAGGATTTTCATTCGTACTTTTAAATGTTCTTAAACAATATTTAAATATTGTTAAACGCAGCCTTTTTAATCCTAAAGTTGGTAGTCCTGTATTTTGTACACAACTGTCAAAATGATGTATTACTTTTCTCTATGGTGTTTTTCACAGTGTTTTTCTACCAAAACAATACGACTGACTGAAATATCTTAAGATTTTTCAAAATAAATTGGATAAAACTGATAATAATGGCTCACATCCAGTTCGTAGATGAGTTGGTACGTGAATATTTGCTGTTCAGAGGTTTCAACTCTACTGTGAAGGCATTTGATACCGATTTGAAGGCGGACAAGGATAAAGGTTTTCGAGTGGATAAAATTATTGAGCAGATTTTGCATTACATCAATGTTTCTGATCTAAGTGGCCTGAAGGAATATTGGTCCCATTTGGATAGCTTGGTTTTCTCCAAATTGGAAATACATGTACAGCCTGGTAAGTAGTTAACGTCCAAAGTAATCTCTGTTTTAGACGTTCAAATCTGTTTAATAAGCTTATGGTGTGTTTTTACAGCTGTTCGTAAGCTAGAATACAGCCTGTACAAGTTATACCTAGTGGTAGCCGCTCAGAGCACGGGCGGGGTGCGGAATGAGAAAGTGGCGGAGTTTCTAGCCAAAATGCTGCCCGAGCTCCAGGGACAGAATGAGTGGAGGGATTGGTTTAGTGAGTACCAATTTAAATATTTTATACATTGGTACAAACCTTTGTGTGTTTCCTATATCATCCAGTTTGCTGAAGAATATTTAAAAAAGAAAATAAGGAATATATTTTAATTCTTTATTTGGCGTAAAACTTATTTCAAGAATAAAATTTACCTGTTCAACCTCTTGGGTATCCATACCCATATCCTCTGATCCACCTTGGTATCTCAATCAGTTACAGCTCTCATAAATACTACAACTAACCTCCCTATTTATTATTCCAGTGCTACCATACATCCAGAAGCCCGAAGAGAACGCGTCATTCAGCCTGTACTTCACCCGAGCATGGCAGGACAGCGTGCTGGTGTCGCTGCACAACTTGCTGGCTACGGTGTTCCAGTGCATGCCACAGCCCACGTTGACCAGTTACGAGAGTGACGCTGCACTTGTGAAGAGACTGCAAGATGAGGTCACTGCTTTGAGGGGCAAGGTAAAAATAATATTAACTAACCATTATTATAATTTTTAGTGTTCAAAATAACATTAATGATCCCCATAGAAGCTAAACTTTTTACCAAGATTTTATACTATGTGCTCTATGTGGGTAAATCATAAAAAAATAGTACTATTGCTAAAAAAGACTAGTGGACTTTATTAAGTACACAGTCATTGTTTTACTATTGTGTCTTATTTGTCTTAGAATGTGTTAAATTGTTATAAAAATATAAACTAAAAGCTATCTTATACCTCCCTTATGTGATCATTGAGTGCAGACTATCCATAAATGTTGGCTACTAGCTTGTCTGTCTTAAAGAAGATTAATCAGAAAAGAATCTGCTTTTGGAAAAACAAGAATATTACATAATTTAACATCCAATTCAGATTCCCACCTTTTTATACCTTACTTATCTAATTTTTGTTGTATTTTGATGTGTATTCTCATTCTCCACAGCAAGTGCAAGCACCAGCAGTGGAAAAAACATCGCCCATTGGCCACCAATCCCGCCTCGCCCAGTACTCCGAGCGTCTAAGCGGGCCTCTGCCCCTCGTTGACGACTTCTGCGCCGTCCCTTCAGAGCAGCTTGACAGTGGCATCAGAGAGGCTAAAGGCCTCCGAGGCCTCCTCCGACAGATGGGAGGCAGCCCTGTCATGGGCCGCAAAACCGGACGATCGCAAAGCCAAAACTGACCTTTTGATATTAGTTTAAGTTAACATTGTAAATACATTCCTATAGTAAGATAATATTGTTTATGATCTGTAAAATTGATAAGATATAAAAGTAATTATTAGAATAAATTGAGAATTTTAAATTGTTTTTTATTACTTTACATTAGCAGCAGTTATTATCACAAAAATCTGCAATAATTTAGTTAATTATCCAAGAAATAGTGAATCCGGTGGCGCAGTGGGCCCCGTGGACTACAAGCGTTCGGGCCCCTGTAACTCAGGAGCCCCGTATCATTAATACTGCAGTGCTTAAACGCCCCTGAGTGTGCCTGAGTGGAGACCTAAAAATTAACCATAAATACATCTTGTAAACTATCAAAAACTTTTTATGTATGACATTTCTTTATGGCTTTCACATATGACTTAAGTTTTGACATCAATTAAATCAATCAACCCTCCATGTAAACATCGTGGACTAGTTTCGGTGTCTCAAAATTCCTGTGTAGAATAATTTTACCGTGTTCCCGTAAACCAACTTCAACCAAGATGAGTCACGCGTACTACGCAGATGCTATGAACAAGTCTAACCGGCGCATCATGCGCTGGTACCAGAACAACCTGATGTCCGTCCTCCAGGATGCAAAGGACCGCCAAGTGCGAGAGGTGGACGTATCAATAGCTATCGCGCAGAATCTTATGAAGGTATGTGAACATATTATTTAGAATGAAAAAAAAAATAGGTATAGCTCCTATATTCCTATACATGGCTTTTAAATAATGAACGGTCCGAATATGAAAGCGACGCAGTAAAAGCTTGAGTGTTTAAGTCCCAGGTTCGATTCTTGCTTAGATCAATTTCGAGAATGAACGTTGCTGGTTTGTTAACAAGATTTGGACAAGGGAGTCACTCTTCACCAGTGGCGTAACTAAGTATAGGGTGGCAGGTCTGGCAAAATTCCACGGGCCCCCACTGAAATAGGCCACATACATAGAATTTGCCACGGGCCTCGGCTAGTATAGTTACGCCACTGCTCTTGTCCAAATATTACAATATGAAAGTAGTAAAGGCATACTTTATTTATTTGCTTGGAACAGATATTGGACGAGAAAGTAGCCAAACCTATAGAGGTGCCGCTACGCGAGCTAATTCCTTCCGAGAAGGACGACCTAATGAAGCCGATTGAGCCAGAGGTTGAGGATCTGCTGTACGGAAGCACGGAGAAGGGCGCCGGCGAGAGGTATCTCAAGGCCAGAAATAAGAAGTCGCCCGAGGATAAGTTAGTAAACTTGCTTTATCTATTGAAATAATTATGCAATTTGATTGTTTTCTATCCATCTATCAAAACTAGCTTGTATGGTATTACCACGAAGTATGAAAGTTTAAGCATTAACTTTTCGAACTCTGATAGAGTGGTGAGGTATATCCATTCGTGAAAATTATGTGGGTAGATGGGTAGGTAATGTATCTTTAGTAAAGTCCGGTCGCCGAGTAGGTACATAGAATTTCGTTTCGTCCAATGACCCCAAGCTACCCATCCTTATCGCTCGCGCGTAATTATAATGCTGTCGCGACTGTACGACGAGCGGTCGCACTCAGCGACCGGACTTTGGAAGCATAGATATAGATAATTCATTATGAAAAACTTGACTACGCATTATTTACTAACAAAAACTTTCAGATACTTCTTCCGCATCGTAACAAGCTGGGACTACGGCTGGCAACAGAAGCAGTCGCGGCAGCGCGCGCGCGACGTCAACCGCGGCCGCTGCGCCATCTTGCGGGACACGTTCTACAGGAAGAACAACTTGGCGCCCGACCCGCGGCACTACTCGCAGCCGGCTGGCGGCGAAGTGTCCATCTGCAGCGAATACTCTTGCAACTTTATGTAGAAGGAATACAAGAACAAGACAAAAGGAACACTCGTACGGCTTCAAAAATAAACAAGTCGGACTCACGGTACTACTCAGTCTGAGGAGAACCCATCTTGGCTACGTCAGAAGAATACAAAGAAATGAGAGTAACACGACAGAATAGAATAAATCTATGATCATAAACGCTCATTAGCTTTGCTGTTATCATTAAGCGAAAATTAAGTTCTTGTGCAAGATACCTAAATAAGTGACAAACTAAAGCAGGGAATCACCCATTCTGGCGTGTAAATCAAAGTCAGTTTTATAGCAAAAAACATATATTTTATAATTTTATTATTTACAATAATTCAACTTTTATTTACATATTAACAACAGCAAGTGTACCCCTATTCATAAGGCCACATCTAACTGTCTCTATGGGAATTATTAAAATAAAAATGTATACAGAACTATGACCGTTTCATTTGGCCGACAACCGCTTGCGTTGCGGCGGGCGCGGGAACGGACGCGCGGTGCCGCAGCGGACGGTCGCGGGAAGGAAGCGACTCCTAAACTACTATATATAAAAATAATATGAACATGGAAAGTTGTAACAATCGTTGCGACTAAAATTAACTCGGGTCATCCGCTGAGACACCCCACTCGTGCGCATACAATACTCAAATGCTACATTAAAATTAATTAACCAGCAAATCGTCAACAACATTCGCTCACTAACAAGTTTACTAAGAAATTATTAATAATAATAAAAAATAATAATAAATATGAGACGTTTTTGTTCTTTCTCAAGTTCATATTTGACACATTATGTACAATTTATTTATCATCAGTCCATACATTTCTGTGAAACCATACTAATCGAAATTCGTCTATATTTAATTTTATTGTGCAAAATAAGACATTATTATGCTCTCTCTCCTTTGGCGACATGTCTTACTTTACGATATCAATAAGCAAGTTACAATACTCGTACAAGTCACTGCTGATTTATGATAGGGAAAGGCGAATTTAGTATACATACCTCTATGGAGACAGCAAAACGCAATATTCAATAGACAAATCATGAATACAAGTGAGGAGAATATTACCATGAAAATGGTTGGGATGAATACTAAGATACATAGATTGCAATTTAATTAAACTAACATGTATATTTTAATATTAAATAATTTCTAATTACTTGTAACATACATATATTTTATATCAGCAAATAACAGTGGCAGCATAAGTCATGAATACTATAGTTTCTGATATAAATGAACATACATATTTTATATTAGGAAGCTTTGACAATGTGATGATGATCATGAGATCATTGTTATAAGATGAATAACTATAAATTATATAATATAATGACAATAATGAGGATTTGTTTATACAGGGGCTTTCAAAGTAACAAGCAACTGACCGATGTAATAGTTACTAAAATTAATTTATATTTGACATTCAATTAATTTGTGAAGTGATCTTAATCCCGACGAACTAGTCAGATATGGTTTTATTGTCATACATAACATTTACTATTTTTATCAACTAAATCAACACCTCAAAGTATAATGGAAAATGGAGCACATTATTTGCTTAAGTGATATTTACTCGGAAACGAAGGGACACGCCAAACCAAACATGATGGGTCCAATCATCAACAGTCCACACAATCTATAAATATTTTACAGGGTAATAAATTTCGTTAATAAACCCAATAATTTAGAATACTTTCGTTTAGGAATCTCCTTAAAACACTACAAAATCTAACCATAATACTACCATAGACGCATAGGCGTGTCCCGTCTTTCTACGTCGAAGGCAACCTTTGAATTAACAATCTTACATGACATTCACACACACATTTACAGTTCCCGACATCAGATCATGAAACACAACACGGTTCGCCCGCACTATCACTATCCAAACGTCAGTTAAGTCACTGGCATGGAATATCACTTTCTGGTAATGTCTTTTAATTTAGGCCAATAAAATATTGTACTTGTGCGCCGGTGTTTAGCGACCGGCGTGAGTACTGTTCGTCTGTGCGGCTGAAACGTTTACCCCGACTCTTTTATTTACGTAGACTACAGTGAAAATGATATCTAACAGGGACCGATACGACAATAGGGGGAGTATTGCAACAATCGGGACAGAGTCCCAGTCATAGGAAAGCGGAGTGGTAACACTAGAAATATTTGTACATCGAACGAGGCGGGTTCAGCACTTTGTCACCGGACGACCTACTCAAAACACAACACATTGCACCGTTGCTCACTTCGCGCACTGATATCTCGGTCGTCAGTCACTTATTGCGCGGCCTTTTGCAGTCGCAAGGCTTTCAGGCCCGGTTGCATGGGTTTCCGCGGGGTGGGTCACCGCCACCGGCGCCAGTCGTGGTCGCTACGAGCGAAACGTAGTGTCACGTGGTTATGACGGCGCCTACGCGACGTGACGTCACGTGATTTGGGGCGCCTACTCGACTTGGTGCCACGTAGGTGAGGGCGCTTACATGACACGGTGCCACGTCGGTGGGAGCGCCTACACAACCTGGCGCCACGTAGGTATGAGCGCTTACTCGACACGGCGCCACGAAGATGAAGGCGTCTATTCGACGTTGCGCCACGTAGGTATGGGCGCTTACTCGACTTGGCGCCATGTAAGTAGGGGCGCCTGCTAGACGCGGCGCCACGAAAATGGGGGCGCCAACTCGACGTGACGTCATCCGAATTGAGGCGCCTACTTGACTTGGCGCCTCGTAATTTCGAGCGCCTCGACGCGTCATTCCGGTGTCGTCGCCCAGTCCCCATAGCCCCCGGGGCCTTGGTCCCAGCGCCTAGGTGGCGTGGCTGACGCTGGGCGGCGGCGGCAGCGCGGGCGGCGCGCCGCTGGTCCAATGCACGAGCGCGTGTTGTGGCAGCTGCGTGGCCTGGAAGTGGTCCTTGAGCAGCGCCTGCGAGAAGTTGCAGTGCATCTGGTACGCCTCGTTCTCGCGCTCCGTGTCGCCCGCCAGCCGGTACAGGTCTGCGATACAATACAAAGTACATACAACACCGATTCAAATAGAATCTACTTGTGACATTTATCCATACACTAGCTTATATTCAGACGAAGATCGAAAGTGTCTTCGAGGTGAAATGAATTTCAACGTATATTACAAAACATCTCAAGTGTCAATGTGAAAAAAAAATCAAATAAATGCCTTGCTTGGTGGTAAAAATTCCCAACAGTGGCTGCATGACCGGGGTCATCATGTTATTGCTCTCGCACGAGTTGTTGATGGACAGGAGATAGCATGTTATGTATCAAAGACTCACCCTTGAGTATAGCGGAGGCCCACAGCTGGACGTGGACGTCTGGGATCTTGCTGGCGAGCTGCATGGCCGGCGTCACCATGTTCATGCTCTCTCGCGAGTTGTTGATGGACAGAAATATATGCCCGAGCAGCACTAAGGAGCATGACGTCAGCCGATTCAGGTCCTCGGCGTTGGCCATTTTTAGCGTTTCGCGGAGGTAACGCCTGGGGATAAGTTACAAATTAGTTTCTAGAACACTTCACAAAGGAAAGAAAAAACTATTAGAACCTAGATCGTATAATTTTTTGGAATTTTTAAACCACCTAAATTAGAAGGACTACCGTTTTAAAGTTTACTAGTTGGCGCCATTGTGAAGTCCTGTGACTTGTGTCTCCTTAGTGGCGCCAACTGTTGAGTGGCGTTCACAGTTCACTGAGTACTTAATCAGTAGGAGAGCTATTGCATTCAATAGGGTAGCACCACTGTAGAATAAGGTCCTATCATTCGCCATTGGGTAAAACAGTGGCGCCAACTCTGATGAGCGGCGCTAACTGAGCACTGAATCAGTAGGAGGATTATTGCATTTGAAATCAAGCCTTATATTAGTCATCATCATCATTTCAGCCGCATGACAACCCAAAGATTTCCAGATAGGCAGTGGCCTGCATCCAGCACCTTTATGAGGTCATAATCGTCCATTTGCGACGACAGTGTGACATCTTCAATTAGATTAACATAGAAGATGTCACATTGTCGTCGCAAATGGACGTCTGTCTACCGTGCGGCTTTTGACCCAAGTGTATTTTATACAAGTGTACTAACTTACAAAGAAGCTACAAGAGATACATAAATAAATAGTAGGTGAACTCACTTGGCCTCGTTGTAGCGGGCCTGGAAGAAGGCCTGCAATCCTAACACGTAGTACGACGCCGCTCGCAGCCCGTGCGCGTACGCCGGCAGCGCTTCGGGCCGCACCTGACACATTACATTCAAAAAATCAAATCATAATCAAAAAAATCTTCAGCCTTTGCATTTATCGATTTTTTTGCCCTATCAACGCTTCGAGGCAAACATTTGCCAAGTCCTGAGAAAACGCCGCAATCCGTATGGTAGGTAGAATTATCTAATTCTATCCCTTTGTTATCTTTTCTTCTCCAAGTATTGTTCATCACACACTACACTTATTGTGTCCCTATTCTGTGATGCCATCTCGGTGCGTCCGTATTTCGATTCCACTGCGAAGTCAAGCGTGATTATACCACCATACGGATCGCGCACTCGACGCTCCAGTCAGCCTGTAACCACGGCCGGTGCAACTCGGTCGAAACGTCAAGTAATATTTCAATGTTACCTATCCGCGTATCACGTTAAAACCTGTTTAAATTAATTCAATAATAATATTACTAGGATTTACATACCTGTTCCATGAGTTGCGCCAAATCATTGTCCCTCCTGCCTCGCAAATATACAATAGCTAAGTTGAGTTTCGCAAACATCCATAGATCTCTTTCTTGTGACATCTGCGAATAGAAATGCATAATGCATTACTTTGCGAATCAGTGTGACAATAAATTGTACCTTTTGTGCAATTTGAATAACGTCATTGTCAACATGTTATGTTGCCTTTAGGATTGTTCAATTGTCATGTAAGTTTTAGTCACAAAATAGTCCACCCGCTGTATACGTGCATGACCACAATATTACAGTGGAGGGCAGCGGGGATCAAACCCGCGTTCCTCGGATCACGAGTCAGCCAGTCCGACCTTCACCGTTCGGCTATCGTTATGGGCGTTCCCAGCTTCTGCCCTAGGGGAGGGGCAAGTAAAACTGGGCTACTGTCCTAGGGAGGGGCAAGTCTTTTTCTTAAGTGAAATCGTTTGCAGCTGCAGGTCCAATGACAGTTTAACTTCCCCCGAACAAACTTGGCCTTCACTGGTTGGATTTTTAGTGGCGGTCAAGCTGTAAATCCTGCCTACATAGCAGTTGCAACGGTGGGAACGAGAGGTGGGTATAGTCCCGTGCTCCCATCTGGAGTACGGCCATGGCTATCGTCGAGTTGGGTCGTGTACTCATAGAGTTGTGTGGTGTACTCATCGAGTTCTGTAGTGTAATCATAGAGTTGTGTGGTGTACTCATAGAGTTGTGTGGTGTACTCATCGAGTTGTGTGGTGTACTCATCGAGTTGTGTGGTGTACTCATCGATATGTGTGGTGTACTCATCGAGTAGTGTGGTGTAAAGCCTGGTCCGTGAGCACGTAGAATTTTGTCCAATGACCCCAAGCTACCCATCCTTATCGCTCGCGCGTAATTATATTGCTGTCGCAACTGTGCGACGGGCGCCCGCAGTGAGTGTGCGAGCGCGACAGCAACATTATTACGCGCGAGCGATAAGGATGGGTAGCTTAGGGTCATTGGACAAAATTCTACGTGCTCACGGACCAGGCTTTACTCATCGAGTTGTGTGGTGTATATCGTGTATATGTCAACGCGAAATTGTGAACTCCGTCAGTTTATAACGCGTGAGATTGTAAACTAACAGTGGGTTAGGTTATGTTAGATTGTAAACTAACTACATACGTCAGATTATAATCTGACGAAATTCACAATGTTACGGTGACATATACATACATTGATATGTGTGGTGTACTCACGTGTATGGCGGTGAGGAACTGCGCCTCGGCTGCCTCCATGCAGTTCATGGACATGGCGTACAGGCCCAGCAGGCAGTGCAGCTGCGGCGTGTGCGCAGCCGCGCTGCATGCTATAGAGGAAAGCGATCCGTTAGTATGTGATAGATTGATGCGTTTTATGAGGTTGTTCATCATCATCATCATCATCATCATCATTTCAGCCATAGGACGTCCACTGCTGAACATAGGCCTCCCCTAATGCTTTCCACGTTGATCTATTGGTAGCAGCCTGCATCCAGCGCTTCCCTGCTACCTTTACGATGTTGTCAGTCCACCTTGTAGGTGGACGTCCCACGCTGCGTTTTCCGGTACGCGGCCTCTTATGATGCGGCGGTATGAGGTTGTTAAAAGTGGCTATTTTGCAACAGTAATGTAGTTGGTTGGATTGTCACTGTACTTCTGTTTCATTATCAGACTATTAGTCTGATGCGCTGTCAACTGTAAGTATGTTTATAATGAAAAAAATTATACTACAGAGCAATACTGTGTTGATGAAATTTGAGATTGAGAATTTAGGAGTTCACATGGGAGATCAGGATTATTGACATGAGTATTTAGGGCTTCTAGAGATCTAGACAATGTTACATTTAAGTGAATCACTTTTCGTAAAATCGATATCGACTGTCAGAGATAGCCTGGATTTTGTCGAATCGATATCGAACGTCACATTGTCTACTGACCCGTGGGCGCGGCGGACAGCAGGTGCGCGGCGCGCGCGATCTCGTGCAGCGCGTGCGCCTTGCCGCCGGCCACGAGGCGGCACAGCGCCGAGTGCTCCACTAAAGCCATGCGCAGTCGCCACGCGAGAGTCGCGCCGCTTCGCGCGCTGACCCCGCTGGATTCTTCGCTGCATCCGCTAGCTGGACATAAAAAAATATATTGTTGTTAGTATAGTCTGGTCGCCGAGCACGTAGAATTTTGTCCAATGACCCCAATAAATAATAAATAAATAAATCTTTGGACAATTTCACACAGCGCCAGCTAACCCCAAAGTAAGCAACTTAATGCTTGTGTTATGGTTGCTAGCTTAACGGATATACTACTTATATACTTTTTTTTTTAAATACATAAATATTATACATAGTCACACCCAGACCCGTCACAGAAATTAAAATTCATCATTTCAATTTCTGCCCGGCCGGGAATCGAACCCGGGACCTCTCGGCATAGTAGTCCGTTCTTAACCACTACACCAAACGGCCGACGAATCCTTATCGCTCGCGCGTAATTATATTGCTGTCGCGACTGTGCGACGGGCGCCCGCAGTGAGTGTGCGAGCGTACCAGAAACATAATTACGCGCGAGCGATAAGGATGGGTAGCTTGGGGTCATTGGACAAAATTCTACGTGCTCAGAGACCGGGCTTTAGAAAAGTCAAGACAAGCTTGGATATTTCCTTAGTAAACCGCGACATTAATAAAACAATGCGAGTAGGAAAAAATACATTAAGAAAAAAAGAAGACCATATCCAGTGTTGGCCGAAATAAGTACTAATTTTTCCCACTTACATCATGATCAGATCATTTAGTTCACTACAAAGATTTACAAGAGATAAAAGGAGGTTTGTCCAACACTAGATTGACGTGTTCATATATTTTGTCTATTAGGGCCTACGCTAAAAGGCGCGCGGGCGTTCCGCACAAAATTATGACAAGCACATTACGGCGCGGACGTGTGTCACAAGTTTGCACACGCGCGGGGGGTGGCGGATACACGTCACAGGCGTGCTTTAAAGGCGCGTGCACACGAGTGACTTATCACCGTATAGTATATTTCTCAATAGATGCAGGAGAAATAAGGCTAACGTCATCTTCAGTATCTCTATACATCAGATGAGATACAGGCCAATAACTTCTCTGGCTGGTTAAAAGCGCTTTCATATTAAGGCGTTAGTAGCGCGACAGCAGCGCGGCAGCGGCGTTTTTGTAATGTGAAGGGAGGCGTCAGCTGTCACATAGTATGAAATTTTCGACAGCGCGTCACGCGTGTGTCGCGCTGCGAAATCGCCTAAATGTGAAAGCGCTCTAAAAAAAGAAACGAACAACAAAAGAAAAAAAAAAGTTATTATTTTCCCGCCAATACTCACCAGTGAGCTTATCGATCTGCGCGAGCGCCTTCTCAGTATACTTGTGCGCCTTGTCCATGTAGCCGGCCTGCGCCGAGTGCATCACCGTCACCAAGTAGACTAGCACGTACAGCTGCTGCCGCGACAGCCACACAAACGACTCGCCCGGCGCGCTGCCGCACACGGCTGCGAGAATGCCAGTTACAACACTAAAGCCTGCTCCGTGGGCACGTAGAATTTTGTCCAATGACCCCAAACTACTCATCCTTATCGCTCGCGGGTAATTATATTTCTGCCGCGACTGTGCGACGGGCGCCCGCAGTGAGTGTGCGAGTGCGACAGCAACATAATTACGCGCGAGCGATAAGGATGGGTAGCTTGGGGTCATTGGACAAAATTCTACGTGCTCACGGACCAGGCTTTAGTCGATAGTCATTCAAATATGAAACTTCTAAAAGAAAAGTACTGCACTTTAACACTTAAAACAGAGTTAGAAAAATGCCACACGGGCGTTGACAGCGAGTTCCGCGCGCTGCGACATTTGGGAAGGTAGTGTGTTTACGTCAAACGCTTTCGATATAGACTGCGTAAAAAAGTGACAAATGTATGACGGATTGTACAGCGCCCTAGCAGAAACTTTCAAGAACTAAAATCTCCATGTTTTTTAACGCGCTCGGTAATGACGTTTGATGTAAACTCACACTAAGCCCTCTGAACGATATGCCACAAGATACGTTGAAACAACGTACGGCGACAAAACGCGCGTGCAATAAATAAAGAGTCAGGGAGGGGTGAAGAAAGGGTGGGGTGTGGCGACGATGCGGTGCGATGACGGAGTGACAACGCAGCGCAGTGTTTTTCAATATCGAAGATGACAACTGCTAGTTCAAAGACTGACATATCATTTATTCGCCAGCACTATGACATCTGAGTTAAGCAGCTTTGCATTACGGCGACATCGCAACGCTCATGTGGCACTTTTTATAGGACACTCCTAGATGACACCACAAGCTACAGTGAAAGATAAACTAGGAAATTCGAAAACGACTTTATGGTGTTGCTATACAGAGTCTAAACAACAGAATCATATTAAATACTGCAACTTATTTTGTAAATAGCTCACCATCGTCATCTGGCCACGTGGGAGCCATGATGGTCTGGATGCTTTGCTGAAGCTGCTTCAGGCAGGGCTTCACGCTCTTCACCTGTCCTGCCATCAGGTAGTGGCATACCTGAGCAACAAAACATATTTTATGTAGGTACTGTAATAAAATAATCTTTTTGTTTGTCTATGTCATAAAGCTTCAGCCAAACCAACGCGTGCAGATCGCGATCACTGTGCGTGCATAGACCAATGACAGGACACGCGTCCATAAAAGAAAACAGAAGAAAATTTTTCGTGAGACGTAAATAGGGATATTTCCTAGGTAAAAAAGCTAGAGTTTGAATTAGTCCGTCAGTTAATTTATCAAAAAATATACAACACGTATTTTTCATTTTTTACAAACTAATGAAAATTTACAGTAATAAAAGCGCGCCAAAGTTCAAAAGAAGAGGCACGTGACGTCAAGTCGTGGTGAAAAGTGTAGCACGGTGTGACGTCACGCAGAACTTCAACGCACCATAACTTCGTGATTACTTGTTTGATTGACAAATAAAAATAAACATGTCCAATATTTTTTAATAAAGTATTTTTAGGAATAAGTACAATATTGTAACAAAAATGTACACCACAGTCTGATGTGCTGTAGATTTTAGGGATAAAAATGCCATGGCCATTTGAGAATTGTATTACCTACAAGACACTATAAATATTGTACAGTATGATATTTCTTACATTGGCAAGTTTAAATTAGCTGGTAATTATTATCAAAAGCTGAGGTTATCTCTGGATTCATGCACCGTTCTGCATGGTCACACCTTAATTGCTCTATTGTTCTGTAGGTACTTAGACAATGATACTGTAGGCTCATTGTGTATCTCACAAATGAATTTAATTTAAATTGACAAAAAATCTAGCAAAATAGTAAAAATTATGAATGATTCCTGAATCAATATTTTCACAACTAACCACTTAAAAGTTTTAAGTATTTTTTTTGTACAGAATGTATCTTGGAATTAATTTAAACAGGTTTTAACGCGATACTCGGATAGGTAATATTGAAATAAATTACCTGTATTTGCCTGACGTTTCGCCTGGGTTATTGCACCGGCCGTGGTCACAGGCTGACTGGAGCGTCGTGTTACAAGGCAAATACAGGTAATATTTCCATATCCGCGTATCGCGTTAAAACCTGTTTAAATTAATTCAATTATTATGCAATGCGAAATTTTAAAATTAAGAATGTATTTTTAACAAAAGTTCTGTATTATCATCGTAAGGACCTATACAAAAAAACTAAACTCATATTACATGAGACGTACCTGCAAGACAAGGAAGAACACCTTCAGATACTCCTTCTGGTGGGGGCTCCCTGTCCACGAGTCAACTAGGTGCCCGGCCTGGTTTAACAGCGGTAACACTTCTTGGATCTTTTTGTCTATTAACAGCAACTGCAAATGCAAATAAGAAGTTTCATCGTAAGCTTTTAATTTAATTAAATAAATTCAGTGTCATTTAACTTTCTATTTCTTTCTTTCTCTAATCTTCAATCCAGATTTAGAAGTAAAACACAACATCGACATTATCAGTCTACACCCAGTGAACTTACTTTTTTCATGCTTTGTTGAATCAAAAATATTTTATTCAATTTTGACCACTGGTAGCACTTATGAACGTCAAATATAGTAAAAAACCTATGAGGTCAAATATTAAAAATTAATTTTTTTGACTGAATTACTTTTCTGTAGGTACTTAAATAGTCTTCTAACAGGACTATAAAATATAAATCGATACATACCATTACCCTACTGAGCAGAAATAGTACTCGCGTGTACGCAGCGTTTGATATCTGCGCGTAGTCCACACCAACACCGAGTAAACTGCTGGCAACTTCATATTCACGTTCCGTTGCATGGATTTGCTAAAAATTCAAAGAACATTAAATTACATAAATATATCAGTGCCAGTATCAAAATTTCCGATCAGTCACATATTTTTGCTGGTCAGAAAATTGTGTAAGACTATAAATAGGGGTAAGTAAACTGATTTTCTCCTTTTTTTCCAATTTCATTTTCTAATTGTTTGGTTATGAATTTTATAAATAAAATTTATCCATACAGGAACTATTTATTTTAGTCAGTAAATTGATTGGTAATCACAATAAAATATTTTTCCAGTCCGAAAGTTTTTTTTATAGATTTTTGTATTGACCTAAAATATTTTGAAAGTATGTGAAATTACAATTTTAATTGCAAATGAACATAATGTCCACTTTAGGAGTCAATGCTATGATATTATCTGTAAGTACAATAAATCAAGTAGGTATTTATAATGCATAAATTATTTTAAAATGTCTGGAGCTTTTAATTTCATGTACATCATTAGAATTAATTCCAGGTATGTATGTTAAATTTTAATTAGCTTAGGGCATTGATTGACACTAACAAGCAATGAAAACAGCTGATTAGATATAAATTATGATAAAAAAGAAAAGGTTTGTTTTTATGGGACTTACACATCTAAGAAGAACGGTCACGCCCCATACAAAAAAAACCCAGACCCGACAGAAACGAGACGTACCTCAAATTTTTTTGTCACGTCTTAATTAGTTTAATTATATATTTTTTATATTCGAAATCTATGTATAACACCAAAATATTACCCTTTGTTTTTGTTTAGGCGTTATACATAAACTAATACAAAATGCCTATTTATCACCAAATTTGGTAAATGTATGTACCTAAACGTCTATTACAGCTGTTATGGAATGTATCTAGGTGACCTGGAGATACAGCCGGATTATACAGGGTGGTTATACATATGGAACGATAAGTGATCTCACTCGATTATTTCTAAACTATACAAGATATCGAAAAACTAGTTACTGATTCTGAAAGTGCTTCACGAGCTCTTTCAAATGGTACCAATAATAGGTTACAGATTATGGAAACTGGTAACATTGAATTTTTGGATTTTGTAACTTCTCGTTTTCACCCTGTATAATCCGGCTGTATCTCCAGGTCACCTTGATACATTCCATAGCAGCTATTTAGGTACATACATTTACCAATTTTGGTGATAAATAGGCATTTTGTATTAGTTTTTGTATGACGCCTGAACAAAAACAAAGGGTAATAATTTGGTGTTATACATAGATTTCGAATATAAAAAATATATAATTTAACTAATTAAGACATGACAAAAAAACGGAGGTATGTCTCGTTTCTGTCGGGCCTGGGTCACAGATGACCGTTCTTCTTTGGAAGTTTTATACAGTTTTGACAATAAATTACTATATATCTATTCATGGGTTTATGAATGATTATTAATTAATAATATTATACTAATTATTATAAAAATCTACAAAAACAAAATTAAAATGTCCATGGCGGCAGTGGAAAAATTCCATGTTATCACAATCATTGCATTTGCATATTATGATGTCAATAGCCACAATCACTTGTCATTTATATTTATTTAGCAATGTCCAATAGAATATAACATAATACTTACTGCCAGTTGGAATATCAGTCTACAGTGCCAGTAAACACTGTGTTGTGACAACTCAATCGCTTTCCGTAGAATAGGTTTGGAGTGAGTGGGGTGGCCCTGCTGCTCAAACAACTCGGCCAGCACACTCGCAGCCTCGAACTTGACATCGTCGAATCCATTGATAGTCTGAGACAGGCACCACTGCAACCAAAACACCATACTGACCCATTTCTACATCATTGTTTACATTCATGACACTTCCCTTTCACAAGACTCAGGACCATTGTGATATATCCAATGACTGCAAGGGCTAACACTCCTAACCACAATAGACACTTTGAAATCCACAAATAACAGAAAAAAACTTACACTCTGCTCTAAATGCGTCCTCGCTAAGTCGATGTTTTTAGTGTGTGTCAGAAGGATATTACCGAGTTGTAAATGAGTTCGGGCCTCCACTCTTTGAGGTGGTTTGAAATTAAACACGGCTTGTAGGCATTGAATACAACTTTTTATGTCAGGAGGATTTGATGTACGGAAATGTTCTGCTAAACCAAGTAAAGAAATATACCAAGCGTCCTGCGTTGACGCCATTTTGACATTTCTGATTGGAGGGAACGGTGTTGCAAGCAATACACTATCGAAATCTACTAAATTATACTAAAAAAGCTTCAATCCTAAAAATGGTAGCTTCTATGAGCATTATAAAGTTTTTTTATGGAGGGAGGACATGCCTCAAAAGAATTTAGATTTTTGTCTGACCACTTGTCCGTTCGGTTCTTAGGAGTTAAGCGGAGTTATAGAGATGAAACCTATTTTTTTAGGGTTCCGTAGTCTTGTCTGTCTGTTCTGGACACCGATTGCGGTAAAAATTTTCAGCTGCAAGCTGCAAGCTGCAAGTGCTGCAACGCGATTGACGACGAAATACATAAGTTTTTATACACGAAACCCTACACTACACGGCTAGAGATGGGTAGTGGGTAAAAACCCATTTCACCCGATTGGGTTAAAACTGGGTGATTTGGGTAAAAACCCGGTTTTTACCCATTATCACCCATTCTGGTGGGTGAAAACAAAAATAGCGTTTTTTTAAAGTGAGAAGTGGTATTTGTTGCTAAGGGGGCGTTCTAGTGTTACGTAATGCAATCTGGGGGGAGAGGAGGTCTTGAAAAACGTTACAATGCGTTACAGTGGCGGAAGGGCGGTTCGATTTCAAGTTTTTAAGCAGAAGTACTTTGTAGTTGGTGTTGTTATTTGTAACTTTATACCGTAATGTCATCAAAGAGATTATTTCTAAACTATACAAGATATCGAAAAACTAGTTACTGATTCTGAAAGTGCTTCACGAGCTCTTTCAAATGGTACCAATAATAGGTTACAGATTATGGAAGCTGGTAACATTGAATTTTTGGATTTTGTAACTTCTCGTTTCCACCCTGTATAATCCAGCTGTATCTCCAGGTCACCTAGATACATTCCATAGCAGCTATTTAGGTACATACATTTACCAATTATGGTGATAAATAGGCATTTTGTATTAGTTTTTGTATGACGCCTGAACAAAAACAAAGGGTAATAATTTGGTGTTATACATAGATTTCGAATATAAAAAATATATAATTTAACTAAATAAGACATGACAAAAAAACTGAGGCATGTCTCGTTTCTGTCGGGCCTGGGTCACAGATGACCGTTCTTCTTTCATTCTGCAAATGACTGACCCGTAAGTATTTCTCTGTTCACTGACTTGTGGATATTGTACTAATTTTTTTCTGCTGTAGTCTCCCAAAAAGGTGGGTGATGACATCGCCAAGGCGACCAGCGACTGGAAGGGATTGAAGATCACAGTCCAGCTGATCGTACAGAACAGACAGGCACAAATCTCAGTGGTACCTTCTGCTGCCGCGCTGGTCATCAGAGCACTCAAGGAACCACCACGTGACCGCAAGAAGCAGAAGAACAGTAAGTTTCATAAACATTAAGCACATGGTGCAATTATTTTGTAGTTACAATAAATTAACAAATAAGTTTTTAGTAGTAATCCCCTATACTAAATAATAAGTAGTAATCCCCTGAACTTAAGGCTAAGAAGAAGATTTTTTAAGAGGATTTGCATTTTGTTCTGTCTAAATACATTACCTTGTTTGTAGGTAGTACTTATCTATCTTACACTTGTTGGTAGTTTTGAGACTAGTATGATCAAGTCATGATTATTATTGACACACCAAGATAGGAATTGCCCAAAAAACTTGCCAAATAACTATTAATCCTGTAATAACACATCAACTTTTACTTCCAGTCAAACACAATGGCAACATCACCCTTGAAGACGTCATTGGAATTGCCAAGATCATGAGGCCCAGATCCATGGCGCGTCACCTTTCCGGCTCAGTAAAGGAGATCCTTGGCACCGCACAGTCCGTCGGATGCACAGTGGAGGGCAGGCCCCCCCACGACCTCATCAATGACATCAACAGTGGAGCCCTGACCATTGATGAATAAAGATTTAAGGATATAACTTAAATTGCTGTTTTCTTTAGTCTGATTGTTATCCTTTAGTTAGAATATCGATGTTTAGAATAATTAAATTACAGAAAACGGATAAATTTTCTGTCGTTTTTGGACTTAAGGAAATAAATATGATAAGAATTATATTCCCACTGCTGGGAAACGGGTTACTATTTTTTTATTAGATAGAAAATCCTAAATAAGGAGGCTTGGAAGAGAATCATGGGGGTATTTCGCCGAAACAGTAAATTTTCTGTGTCCAGGCAGGCGAACACATGTTTTTTTATATCTATCTGTTTACAACTATTTTTATGGGAAAGTTCATCAAAAGTTTTATTTGTTTTTGCTATTACAATAGCAGAAACTACAAATAATACCGTAGAAAAACTTAATCAAAAGTCGTTTTTCTAATTTCCTTGTTATGTCCATTACTGTTGTTTGCCAAAATGAAGGCTCATTATAACAAATTGAAGCGTAATTTAATTCTAATAGCACTCTCTTTACATTTGAGAAACGTTTGGCTATCGGAAAATAAAAACTTTAAATGTCAAATACTTATAGGAAGAAAATAAAGTGAAGTTAAGTTCTTGTCCAGGTCAAAAGTATAATTTCCCTGGGTCTTCGTTTCGACCATTGTTGTAACGAAACGAAAAAACTTAGAATGTAACGCACTGCACCACTACACTCGGCCATTTCAAAAGACAATGCCGGAAATTGGCGTCTTTTTTTTTTCGCGCGGCCATCGACCAAACCTTGTTTTTTGATTACAAAATAGTGTAATAAACCAAACTTAGTATGACATGTATACCTCTAAACTCAGTCTGAACTGAGTTACGAGCATCAGAAGTTTCATGATTTTCATACTAGATTTGCTGTTTGGGCGCAAGTTTTGTAAGAAATTGCAACAAAATAATGACATTTTATGTGTAAACAAACAATACCATCCATTAAAGGCTCCAGACATCAGTATGCAGCAGAATCAGCGCAATAAAAAAATAGCGCAATATTTTGTTGCAATTTCTTACAAAACTTGCGCGCAAAAAGCAAATCTAGTATGAAAATAATTAAACTTCTAATGCTCGTAACTCAGTTTAGACTGAGTTTAGAGGTATACATGCCATAGTAAGTTTGGTTTAAAACACTATTTTGAAATCAAAAAACAAAGTTTGGTCGATGGCCGCGCGAAAAAAAAAAGACGCCACCTTCCATACAAAATCTGGCATTGCCATTTATGACCTCATAACTTTGTTTCTAAAACGAATTATGACACCCCTTCTAGATATATTAGCTTAGTTTTTACTACTTAATGCATTGGGAAACAAAAATTAGTTAAAAACAAAAATAAAATTCGTGCCAAGGAAATTAGGCAAAATTGACCATTTTTGGCGAAATACCCATGGAAGAATCTTAGGAAATGATATTCTAAACTTCATCTAAATCCGTTCAGTACTATGGTACCCACTTGCGCGAAAGCAAAAACGCACCCATCATCTACCTATCTTCTTCCTTCACAGAGTAGGTGATATTTGTAAAATGTAGGTAGGCATCGTATGAGAAAATATCTGCTAGTTATTTTTATTTGCTTAATTCAAGTATTAAATTCAATATTTAATTTTATGGTCAAATGACAAAAGCAATTTTTGGTTGGTCAGACCAAGGATAAAAGTTGATAACTTTTTTGTATGGACAAGAATGGCCTATTACAAGCTTGTATGATCTTTGGACATTAAATTCGATTATCGATTGTGTCAATTTGACACAAGCGCTCTTTTGTCTGTGACTGTAATGACAAATCAATCGTCAAAAAAGAGTTTATCTCCGTCTGCTGAAGTGATTTTGTGTTTCAATATTTCCTGTTTTCGTAGACTCATTGGAGTGTTTTTCACTAAATCGAGTTATTTACTTTATTGTACAACCATTTCCATCATGGCCAATGACGAAGTAATCCTAAAACAGTACTTATCAAAATATAAACACAAAGATTACACCTCACGAGAAGTGATTAATTTGATTCAATTGTACAAAAGTCTGACCTATCGTTTGGAGGCATTTGTTTTCAACAATGGCACGAGAAAGGATTTATTAAACCTGGAAGGTACTATACCAGTGAATTACAAAGGCGCATATTACAATATTCCCATTTGTATCTGGCTCATGGATACTCATCCTCAGAATGCACCTTTGTGTTTCGTGAAACCTACTGCCGATATGTCGATCAAGGTCTCCAAATACGTTGACAGCAACGGGAAAGTATACCTGCCATATCTGCATGAGTGGAGCTCTAATGGATCGACATTGCAGACACTAATCCAGTGTATGATTACTGCGTTCGGGGAATTACCGCCTGTATACTCAAAACCGAGGACCGAGGTGAGGCCTCCGTATCCTGTGAGTTCATTCATGCCTCAGCCTGGCTATCCTTATCCTCAGCAAGTGACCTCACAGCCTGGTTATCCAACAGTGACCCCATATCCTACCACTTCAAACTTACCCTACCCTAACTATGGGTCCCCATATCCAGGAGCTGTCAATACAAATGGCACCCCATACCCACCACCTGCTACCTCCACACCCTATCCACAAACAAGTAACTATGGAGCTGATCCCAATGCCACTGGAGGTACAATAACTGAAGAACACATCAAAGCATCTTTATTGTCAGCTGTAGTTGACAAAATGAAAAGAAGATTGAATGAACAATCCCAGCAGTCTCAAGCTGAACTGGAGACTTTACGTCGCACTCAACAGGAACTAAGAGAAGGCAAAACCCGGCTTGAAGATATTCTAGCAAGACTTGAGAGAGAGAGATCAGAGTTGGATAAAAATGTAGTTGTTCTGCAAGAAAAAGAAAAGGAGTTGCAAGCTGCAGTGGAACGCCTAGCTGAACAGGAAGGGATAGACGTTGATGAGGCAGTTGTCACCACTGCTCCTCTCTACTCTCAGCTTCTAAATGCTTTTGCTGAGGAAGCTACATTGGAAGATGCTATTTATTACATGGGTGAAGCTTTACGTAAAGAAGTTATTGATCTAGATACGTTTTTGAAACAAGTACGTACACTAGCACGCAGACAGTTCACTCTACGCGCTTTGATGCATAAGTGCAGGCAGAAGGCTCAACTGGCGTGCTAGTAACTATATACAGTTGCTATTGAATGTTAATATCACTTTCTGTGTACCATTTATAGACAGAAGTTTAATGCTTGAACTATTTATCCATCTAGTTTAATTTTGACATGTAATAAAATATCTGTAACATTTAAATTTTATTCATGATCTTGTTATTTTTCACAATATTGTTTTATTTGTTCATGTTAGATTATATTTTTATTGCTTTAGATCTGCATCTTTTATGGTCTTTTGTATCCACTGTATAGGATAAAAATTGTGCTATATTATGAAATATATTTGAGGCAGGGTGTTTTCATTTATGTATGCTAAATTGGGTAAGATTAAAATTATTACATATTTATTCATAAATCCTAGATAAGCATTTGTGAAGTGTTTCCCTTGCTTTGGAAATTGCAATTGCTTTGTTATTCATGTCTCTTATTTTAATAAATCAAGAACTCTGTAGAATGCAAAGCACTGTTGTGGCACTCGTGACTGTTATCACTTAGTAAATAGTGCTAGACAATAAGATAAAACACATTACCACTATGTTACATGTGAAGAGGATCCTAATTAAATGTAATCACTGGTTGTTAAATTTAGATGTGCCATTTTTCAAGGCAGTAATGTGATTAACTATGAATATGTTGTTATTGTAGTATTTAAAGTAAGGTTTGCTTTAACCCTGGATGACTGTACTTGTCTTTTTACAAGTCACACAGGTACTAAATATTTTTTTTGGAATTACATCAGCTCAAAGAACTTTTCCCTTTACAGAGAAACTACTCTGAAGGCAAATAATTACTTTTGTATTAGGATACCAAAAAAATTCACGTAAATAAAGTAATAACAACAATAAAAGGTAATGATATGCTAAATGTTTTAAATATTTTTAATTTATTTCCTTGTAAGGTTTTTTTTACCGAAAATAGTTGATAAATACTTGCTTTACTTTATGCTGTTTAGTACATTTTATTTACTACAATAGAGGAAGAGAATATTATAATAATCTGTTTTATATCTTGAGATTGTAAATAGGGTAAGTTTTACATTATACCAGTCCATTGGCTGATAAACTTTGTCACAATAAATAATGAAAAATATATCATAACATGGTTTTATTTTGGGTTTTACAATTCATAATCATGTTAATGCAATAGTTGAGTCATACATTCTGCGGCAGAGATAAGATACAAGTGTATTTATTATCTGAAAATAAATGAAACAGCAAAATCAATCAGGCCATAATTTACTCAAAATATAAAATTGTAAGCTAACAAATTAGGCTTAGAAAATAAATAATGCTTTCTGGCGGGAATGACGCTTTGAGCTAAATTACGACTATTTCTTGTCTTCTTTTTTCTTGCCCTTCTTGGCTGCAGCCGCGGCCTCGAGGTCGATCGGCGCTGGCTTCACGAACGGAATAAGCTCTTGGTACTGTTCTGGCATCCATGGCTTCAGAGCTTCTGGGACCTGTATGAAAAATAATGTTTGTGTCACAAAAATACCAGTGATATCAAAGTTAAAATTAAAGAGATGGGGAAAATTGTAAATATAGTTTTCCACATGTTAAGTTAATATTTTCGCTTTATACTAAGCGAACTACGGCATGGATACCTGAAATGAGGGCTAGAGTGTTTACGCTCACTAGTTGAGCTACTGGCAAGTGACAGACCTTACTCGACAGTGGCGCTAACTGGCGAGAAGCACAGCATTGACTCGAGTGCCCAGGGCCTCGAAGGGCCAGGGCCAGTAGGTAGAAGATAGCCCTGCAAGCAGGCGAAGCCGTTCGCAAAATATTACCAGTGGCCGCGTTCATCTTCTATCTTCTGACCGTCTCTGTGGGCGCGGGCACAGCTATAGTCTGGTCTGTGAGCACGTAGAATATTGTCCAATGACCCCAAGCTACCCATCCTTATCGCTCGCGCGTAATTATGTTGCTGTCGGCTCGCACACTCACTGCGGGCGCCCGTCGCACAGTCGCGACAGCAATATAATTACGCGCGACCGATAAGGATGGGTAGCTTGGGGTCATTGGACGGGATTCTACGTGCTCACGGACCAGGCTTTAGTATATGACACTGACCTTGACCCCGTCCTCGGTCTGGTTGACCTCGAGCAGCGCGTGGTAGCGCACATGGTAGCGTTCAGTGCACGTACTCTGTGGCCGCGATCATCTTCTGACCGTCTGTGGGCGCGGGCACAGCTAGTATATGACACTGACCTTGACCCCGTCCTCGGTCTGGTTGACCTCGAGCAGCGCGTGGTGGCGCACATGGTCGCGTTCAGTGCACGTACTCTGTGGCCGCGATCATCTTCTGACCGTCTGTGGGCGCGGGCACAGCTAGTATATGACACTGACCTTGACCCCGTCCTCGGTCTGGTTGACCTCGAGCAGCGCGCAGATGACGCGCGTGGTAGCGCACATTGTCGCGTTCAACATGTGCACGTGCTCTGTGGCCGCGATCATCTTCTGACCGTCTGTGGGCGCGGGCACAGCTAGTATATGACACTGACCTTGACCCCGTCCTCGGTCTGGTTGACCTCGAGCAGCGCGCAGATGACGCGCGTGGTGGCACACATTGTCGCGTTCAGCATGTGCACGTATTCTGTGGCCGCGTTCATTTTCTTGGTCTGGCCGTATCTGTGGGCAATGCGTTTCTTTTAATATTTTTATTTCGACTGCGGGGCTAGGATGCGCGCCGTGATAAAATCTTATCGACGATTTTAGACGACAAATGTATGAGATTATCGCGTAAAATCGATAAAATGGCACGATAAAAGCTTATCGCGGCGCACATCCTACGCCTACTGGTAAAGGTTGCGGGAACCACCTAGATGCGGGGAGCCCAGGAATGATCGCTGTGGAAAACCATGAAGAAGGCTGTTTTCCAGCAGTACACAGCATTAGGTTGAAAAGAAATATAATTTTTAATACTTGAGGATGAAAGTCACGAGAAATTAAGCGCACGGTTTCTCAGTTCTGCTACTTTTAGATAAGTTTAGAAATCAATAACTTTCAGCAACAAAACAGGCATCTCTTTTGCCAATGTTTGACCATGAAGTAAGCCTATCACGAAAGAAAACCTTCCAGAAAGTTTCTTGACAAAAAAACGTGAGAGTTGGAACCACCCTGTATAGTTACCTAACAAGCAGCCTCCTAGCCTGGTACTCCAAACAGTTGCTGCAAGACACCAGCTCACGATAAGCACCGGAGCCCGGGAACCAAGCCTCCAGGTCTAACTTCTTGGCAGCGGCGTGGTTGAGAGCCCCTGACACGATGTTCACCACACGGTACGGGATGCCAAGGACTTGGCAGAACTCCTCGGCGTTTTGGATCATCTCATCCATCATCTTCCAAGAGGCATCGTCGTGGGGAGACGTCAGCACAAACTGTTCTACCTTTAAATAAATAAAACATCTTATAACAGCATTCTATGTCAACTGCTCGTAAAAAGTTTTACAGTACTACCCGTTCGCGCTAAGTTTGCCGGTCCGTGGAATGCGCGTCCCCTCTCCCAACCGCGATTAAACGCAATTAATGTGTCTTATTTTACGCAAATACACAATTTTTATCAATAACTAGCGGCCGCCCGCGACTTCGTACGCGTCAACGCGTGGACCCCGTTTTACCCTTAGGGGTGAAGTTTCAAGTTTTTTAGGGTTTACCCGGAAATTATTCAAACTTTTCTCGCTGTAAAAACCATCCTTGGACTTAACAAACATTAAAAAAAAGAATTGGTAAAATTGGTCCAGGCGTTGTTGAGTTATGCGCTTACCAACACATTTTGCGATTCATTTTTATATTATAGAGAAGATAATATATAAAAAATATTTTAAATATAGTTTGTTATAGTTATAGACGATTCCATTCGAGTGACGTCATATCGCCAGCGGAAAACTTAAAGCGAACGGATAGTAAGTAAGTTTTAAGCAATCACGCAAGCTTTTATTGTACATCATCTATCATGTCGTTGTGTGTATATTTTTAACAACTTACAAACAAAATATCATGTTTTATGAGCTGCATGAGAAGTTTGATGACTTCATGGCTTTACTATCCATCAGCAGATTGATTCATTAGCTCGCAATTTGTTTCTTTTTCTCCAAAGTTTTTAATTATCTAGATTCTAGACTTTTTTTTTCCATTCACAGACACAATAAAAAATGTTACAATACTTACAATGTCCTAATTAAATGTTACATCATGCCATAATAAGTGATTTCTTAGAAAAAATGATGATGCAATATTGAAACCAAATTACATCATGCCTATGAATAATTACTTCTTAGAAAAAAAAAGTTTGCTTAAGATTTTTTTTATTTATTACCTTTTCAAATTGATGTACCCTGAAAATACCGCGAGTATCGCGACCGTGGGAACCGACTTCTTGTCGGAAACACGTGGACAGACCTGCATACCTGTGAAAATAAATAAAACTTCATTTGTTGCTCATCATAATCAAGTCGTATAGTGCCTTTTTCCTGTGATGCAGATTTCGGCAAGCATTAATTAGCACGCGGGCTGCCCGCATTTTGTTATTTCATACCGCAAAAAACCGCGTAAAGGTTCGGCCAAACCAACGCGATCACACGCGATCTGCCGGTGTGCAGTGATGGCGAATGGCGATCAATGCATTTAAGTCTGGTCGCCATCGCTGCACGCTGGCTGATCGCGTGTGATCGCGTTGGTTTGGCCGAACCTTCACTGGAAAAAGCCACTTGGTCTCCCCTACTACTACTGTACTCTTCCTTTACTTTTCGGAAGGAGTACCAATAGCAGAACCCTCTCTAATATACATAGAAGCAAATGGAGGATTTGCATCTATTTTTGTTCATTTCTATAAAGCACAATAGATAAAGGCACCATTCATGTTTAAATGTCTGTTGTTATTAAATTATTGTATTTTAGAATTAAAAATGAACTACCTAATAGGTAAGGAAGATTCTGGCAGCCACTCATCCCTGTGGTAAGCTGCAATAGGCTGCTCCGAGGTAGCGATCAGGTACTTCTCTTCAATGGCCGCATCTCCCTTGTTTTCAGATCCTTTGCCAACCACTTTGTACAGTTCTTCATCAAACTGAGCTAGCTGGGCCACTTCTTGCATCACCTAAAATGAAATAAATACATATTTACAATAGATATAAAATAGCAGACTTAATACTAAGAAACATTCTCTACCTGTCAGTCAATAGACATCAAAGAAGTTAATATTACATTTTATTCATCTGTCTACCTAGCAAGCTAAGAGAGCTACAACTGTTCACAATTTTCTACATTATGCTGAGCTTTTAGTAATTAGCATACAAACTTTAGCCTCGGCAATAACTGCTTATTGGCTTCCATACATTTATAAAACTTATCATGCATGATTAGGGGAAGACTAGCCCAAAATAACAGTGTCTAGTTCAAAAATACAGTATAAACAAGTGTAGGCACCTCTTTTCTCATGAAGAATGGAGTATACAGTGGCGTGTATCCTTTTTTCAGCAGTATCCTAAGGGAGAGTTGAACCAGGGCCTGTTCTAGAAACACTGCTGGGCCCTTGAGGTAGTAACCTCTGCCACCAGCCACTGCTGCACCTCTTTCTCCATCCATACCTGTGGATTTATAAAAAAACACAATACAGGATGTGATTCTACTTCTATATGGATTTATTACAGATGGATCCATCTTTTAGATGGATTTATTCCTGAGTTTTCCCTTATCTAAACTGTCTAAACTATCCTAATGATTATTCATAAAATGACCATTGTTCTATGTTTTGCGCTATATTGGACTACATAATTTTCTAATAAATTGTATTTGTGTAACAATTGCTTAAATTACTAAAGAGTATTTACATACCTACATTACAAAGAATATAAAAACAATATAAGTTATTTATTTAGTACTTAAACTAATACTTAAACTTTAAATAATAGCAGTTTAATGCTTTCTGACCTCATAGTCATCAGCTACACTGTTATTTATTATACACATATTTACACAAGTGTTCATGAATGTAAAGTCACAAATTCATTTCAACAAAACAACTTTAGAGCTCACTATTGAATGTTATAATGTAGTTTTATACCTAGACAATACCATAAACTAGATATTAGTTGAAATATATTGTAAGAATAAGATAAACATACCATCAATCATACAAATCAGATCCACATGAGAGTATTTGTTCCTCACAGTGCAGTCACCATGCGTCCTCTCCACAGCATTGTGGTCTTCATCGTCATCTACTGGCACAGAGGAGTGCAGGTGGTTGCCCACCTCTCTCAGGGCGTTGGAGCGAGCCTTCTCTGCTGCTATGAGACCCTGCTCATTCTTTGTAATCGCCTCATCTATCAAAATTCGCACCTGAAAAGTTATTTGAACTGTACAGCTGTCATGGATTTCAATAGGTTTTCATTTGAATTACAGAAACTTGACTAGATGAAACTGCTATTATGTGGCTGGTTAACAAACACCTACCTTTTTAATCTGGTTCACTGTGAGAGGTTTAAGATTATCGCCAGTTAGTTCGCTCAGGTTACCGGCGACTTCAGGCGGCACTGGCTGGTCCTCCGGCCCAACAGGCTCCTTGCTCTTCATTTTAAGACCGATCTCTTTGCTGCAGACATTCTTCAGCTTGTTCAAGTTGTCTGCTTCGTGGCGCAATCGTCTCCAGAGTAAGTCTTGTTCCACCACGGTGTCCACCAGACCCACATCTTTGAATCTCTTGCGCTGGTTTTCGCGGATTTTGTCTGGGTCACCATCCTTGTCGGCACGGAATAAGTCTAAATCGAGCACCATGATGATTTTAAGTAAAAGTAATGATGAAATGTGAAAGAAAATGTGAACGTTGCAGTCTCACAGCTGCATGCGACAAGAACTACGTTCAAAAACTTACTGTCACCCAGTTCACTAACTCAAACTTTGACTAATATTAAATCAAAAAGAGTGAAATTAAAAATGATTTTGGCCTATCCTACTGTTTTATTTTAGTAAATTATGCTGTTATAAACTTTAATTGTCCGATACTTAATTTAAAAAATTAGTTTTTACATAAATTGGTATTCGAAGTTTTCGAACGTGTTTTCGAACGTAAGCCGCTGACAGCTGTCGAGTTGGTTGTGGTTGGTCGAATACGGTCCGAATCACAGATATGGTCCGAATCGTACACCTATTGAAAAAACCAATGACGTATGTATTTTGCACAAAAAATAATAATGTGAAATTTAGCTAGGTTTACTAATTATCATCTTATGTCTTTAATTTTAATTTTTAATGTTATTTTTTCAAATAACAAATAGGATCACATCGATTTATAAATAAATTGTTAATTAATTTGAGCTAAGGCAACATTTCACTTTATCTGTCAAAAACGCGAATGATTTGTCGGTCCCTTTCTTTAGCTCATCGTTTCGAATTTTGTGATCAATTTGTTTATTATGTGGCTTATTTTTGATACTAGATGAGGCGACAGAATCTGTAATATCTCACCAATAAATTGTAAGTATTATTACTGTCGTCATTTAGTTTTGTAAGGCCTAAAACAACGTTGCTTTAGTCCTTGTTTACACGTCCACAGCGCCTTGTTTCCCGATCTATTTACAAAGGGGAGGATTCGTACTGATTAAATTTTGGTTGCCTGTTTATATGGAATATTACAATTCCGTTGGCATAAGACATTACTAATTCCGATTGCAAACTTCGTATTGATGCAAGGATCAGCAATATGCTGCTACTTGCCTACACCTGACTTTTTTATCATGAAGCAACCAACTTGCTCACCACTGTAAATTTCAGCCCCCTTTTTCCGTATTTGCGCAGTTACAACACGTCGCAACAGAACGAAATTGTTTTCATTTTTCAGGCGATGTTAAGATGATTCCTTTGAAAGATAACCAAGATGTGGCTTCTTTCCTCGTCACGAAACACTCTTGGAAGGGCAAGTACAAGAGGGTATTCTCGGTGGGGACTCATGGAATCACCACATACAACCCGGACCGTCTGGAGGTGACCAACAAGTGGCTGTACTCGGACGTGGTCACGGTGGCCTCGGCCAAACACTCCAACTCAGCCTTTAACCATGACTTCACACTGGTCATGAAGAAAGAGAAGAAAGTGGACACTATGAAGTTTTCCTCCGAACACAAGTGTCTCATTCTGACTGAAGCTTTCAAGTACAGGCACCTGTTTGCTGAGAAGCCTAAAGATGTCTTTGTAAGTTACTTCCTTTTTAACTTATAAAATAAAAGCTTTTGTTTCCACAAAAAAGTTTGACTACAATAAATTATTTCATTAAAAATATTTGTTTTGCTAATTCTTGTGATACCCTGTGTAGGCAAAAGCCTCCTCCATCTTGCTCCACTGCATTTTAAGTTCGTTCGTTTCAGCCAAATGACGTCCACTGCTGGACAAAGGCCTCCCCCAAGGTTTTCCACAATGAACGGTTAACTTATTAAATGCATTTTAAATTTACTTATTAATTTTCATATTAGAATCTGAAAAAAAAAACTTATATTTCAGAGATATCAAGCATACAAACACCACTGGAGCGGGACTCGTCTCCCAGTTGTGTTAGAAGTGGGCCCTTGTGCCCTAGAGCAGCTGGATCCTTCCACTCACACCTTACTGGCCAGCTATCCATACCATGACATCCAGGGCTTGTTACAAGTGAGGGATGTCCCTGGGGGCATAGTCCTGGCTGTGGGTGGTTATAGCCGGCTTCATCTCTTCTCCAATGCGATGGAGCATCAAGCAATCATTAACAAAATGCTTGAGATGGCCAGCCTAACACTTAGTACAAGCATAAAAGTTCTGTCCACAATGATTACGCTGAATGATTACCATGATCAAAGATTTGGGAAGTACAGGTGAGATAACTTACTAAACAAAAGTGTACTAAATAGATTTTTGGACCACACCGGTCCTGTAAGACACATTTTAATTTGGTAGCATTAGCATTATTGCACCATGTTTCTTCAAGTTTTATTATTTGGTTGAATTGATTGAATGAACATAATGATGATGAAGTAACAAAGCTTGTTCTTATTTGCATACTCAAAAACAAATAGAGAAAAAAAAAAGATTCTATAAAGAAAAAACATTTTTCAAAAATATTGCAAACTACAGGTTATGTAATGCAACAAATACCTAATCTAGAACTCTAATGTTAATTAATGGTAATGTAGTTCACTTTGTTCATGATTAATTAAAACGTAGCTAAATAAAGTCATTGTCCATTTTCATCATGCAAAGAGCACAATGATTCACACGACCTTGCAACTTATCTATTTAATATGATGCTATCACTCCCTAGTGGATCAAATTATAAAGTTTTGGTTTTGATGTCATGTATGTTTTTGTTACCTTTTACTTTAATAATATTCATTCCTAAAATGTGAAAAGAGATGCTGTTTTAATAGTTATTTAACCACATTCCACATATAATAAAATAATTCTAATTACAATAATTTAGTGGTTAATTTAGTTTCCTTTTAGATATTTTGTTTCCCTTTTTACAAATTGAGAATGTTAATGTAATAAAAATGTTTACTCTTTTACCGTTTACCTGTGCCTAATTAAACTCAAATATTAAAGACAATTTTGTTACACAATCCATTCTTTTCCATCCATATTTTCAACAACTGTTTTTAATATTTACCCGCCGCCCAGCGCAAATATCTCACTCTAGCACATTTATGACAAGCCTAAAGGGTTCCTATCTCTTATTCCTCGGTCCCTCACTGATGAGGATCGCGACCACATATACTGTTCCTCCATAAACTGCGGTCATAAGCTGTGTGGACCGCACGATGCAAGCTTCCGCACACCGTCTTCCTCAACGCGTCTGACCATCTCGTCGGTGCCCTGCCCCGAGCACGTCTGCCCTCTTTGTCCTACTAGAGCCTGGTCCGTGAGCACGTAGAATTTTGTCCAATGGCCCCAAGCTACCCACCCATCCTTATCGCTCGCGCGTAATTATATTGCTGTCGCGACTGTGCGACGGGCGCCCGCAGTGAGTGTGCGAGCGCGACAGCAACATAATTACGCGCGAGCGATAAGGATGGGTAGCTTGGGGTCATTGGACAAAATTCTACGTGCTCACGGACCAGGCTTTAGCCCTAGGGTTACTACATGTTAGTTTATTTGTTATTTCTAGTGGGGACCAGCACCAGACGTCGCTAAGTGAGTTCATGGTACACAAGGTGAACCCCGCGCGCCACATGGAGCCTATGAGACGTACGATGTGTCTTTCCGACACCTGCATTCTGGAGAGGGATCCTCAGACTTATTCAGTAAGTTGGAAATGAAAAATCTTTTTCATTTATGCTTGAATTTATAGTCAGGCGCATAAGTTGTAAAGCGGTAGTGGCTCGGCATATAGAAAATGGCCTCAGAAGCAGTTCATCCGAAAGAAGTAATATAAAAAGGCCTTTGCTTGACGGACTGACGACGTGGTGAAGGTTGCGAGAAGCTCCTGAATTTGGGCAGCTCAGGACCGATAGTTGGGAGACCTCTATCCAACACTGGACTTCAGATGGGACTCGAAATCGCAATCTATTTACTACTGCTACAAAGATGCTAATCCGAGTGAGCTAGCGTCGCAATGGACAGTCGATTATTTTCAAATAACACACCAGAAATCTGATCTCTACTGAGATTACACCTGTGTCATATTATGGACACCATTATCTCAAATAAAACGTTAATTCTAGGTGGTGTGTCTGCGCCCGTTATGCGACGTGTTCGCTTTAGTGCGAGACCCCGAACATCCTCAGAAGTTTTCCATCGAATACCTTAACGGCCAGACTCGCACGTACCTCGCAGGGGAAAGGTCAGAAGAAACGCAAATTATTTTACTAAACATATCCACATGTATTTATTTGAAAAACTCATAAAAACTGTCTACATGTATTTATTTGAAATATTATGACTTCATTCTATTTTTAATTCAGTCGGTATTTCTATGAACATTGTAATCTGTATGCATTGGCCTTCATTGTATCAGTTACTTTACACTATTATTGTGAGCTGCAACATTTTACATATGACTGCATTTGTTCAAGCTTTGCATTAATAATAGCATGAAATAACGACTAGTATCATTTTAAAACGTGGTGAGATAACACTAAAAAATCTAAGCATAAATGTCGCTGAAATAGCTAACCTCGGACCGCATTTGATCGTCGCAGTGTCAAAGTGTATATCTTCAAATATCGGAATATATTTTAATTTCGTCCTTATTCTCACATACATAGGGACGCCCTGCTAGCCTCTCCATGTATCCGGGTGAATTTTAATTTCGTCCTTATTTTCATGTTCATAGGGACGCGCTGCTAGCCTCTTTACTGGATGGTGTGCGCTCAGCGGGACAACGCGACGTGCACGTTCGCTCGGTGCCTACGCCGCGCGGGTTCCGTCTAGGGCCGCTGCATCAACCGGTGGACGAAGAAACTGAATCTAATCATCTCAGGTATGCCTTATTCTCGCTCTAAGAGTAGGCGCACACCGTTGATTTTTCGTCGGCCGATAGTTTAGTCGAGCAGTTGATCAGTATGGGTATGTATGGGAGTGCGCACACTACGCCGATTCGATTTGGCCGATTCTTCATGCAATTTAAAATCGGGCACAACTATCGGCCAACTAAAAATCAACGGTGTGCGCCTACTCTTATTCCCACGTGCATAGGGACGCGCTGCTAGCCTCTTTACTGGATGGCGTGCGCTCAGCGGGACAACGCGACGTGCACGTTCGCTCGGTGCCTACGCCGCGCGGGTTCCGTCTAGGGCCGCTGCATCAACCGGTGGACGAAGAAACTGAATCTAATCATCTCAGGTACGCATTGTCGTCCTTATTCCCACGTGCATAGGGACGCGCTGCTAGCCTCTTTACTGGATGGCGTGCGCTCAGCGGGACAACGCGACGTGCACGTTCGCTCGGTGCCTACGCCGCGCGGGTTCCGTCTAGGGCCGCTGCATCAACCGGTGGACGAGGAAACTGAATCTAATCATCTCAGGTATGCCTTGTTATCACGGCAGCTTATTAGCATATTGTACAAATAAGTAAAATTTTATAAAAAAAAATAAAACCGACTCCAAAAAACCTACACTAAAACGTAGAAAAATAATTACTAATTACCTACTTATTTATTAGGACGAATTATTAATATTTATGTAGGTATACCATGATTGATACTTAGAAAAAAAAAAAAAAAACACATACGGGTTGAATTGAGAACCTCCTCCTTTTTTGAAGTCGGTTGAAAAAGAAAAACACATCATTAGCCAGAAACAAAAAAAAAGTGAATGCAAACATTTTGCCGCATCACTGTACACATGGTAGTATGCGGCGCCGCAACGGCACCGTCTCGCTCAATCGAAGTGCGGTGTGCCGGCGGTGCGGCGCCGGAACGCACCGTCTGGCATATCATTGATTTTATATGCAGAATGTCGCAGCGACATCGCTCCGGCGCCGCGCCGCGACAGCACCGCACCGTGTGGCTTCTCCCTAAGAGTTTATCCCTCAAATAGCCTAAATTGTGCCGTCTCAAAATTTTGTGTTTCTTTTATATGATAGTTTAATGTGGTGTGCCCCAAAGAGTATCTATCTACAATAATCTACATGAATTATTATTATTGTTTTTCTTTTACCAGGCTGTTTCAAAACCCAGTGGGCATGTGCCGCGCGGAAGTAATCGAGCGTTTCAACGCAAACGTCGGATACAGCGGCCTCAACTACTCCGTCAGCCAAGACGTAAGCCCCGCCCCTAGCCGTAGCCCCGCCCACTGTCCGCTTGACTAACCGGCACGACAGACGAATATCAGCCTTATTGCTATTGTTATAGGTCTTTAAGTAACGTTAAGACAACTACGGGTCGAGCTAAATAGAGTCGTATCTGTACTTGTAATAGTTGCTATTTTGCTACAAAAAGTACTAGAGTAGTGTGATGATCAGTCCGTTAAAATAAAAAGTATGTACAAGCGACAGGACAGCGTAATTTTCTGTAAATGGGTGTTATTTTGTATAAAATTCAAGGTCTCATTTGAAAAATCTGTTCTGGACCACGATGTTGAAGGCTATCGGGCAATATTGTATTTACACACGAGATCTCTGGGAATAATCTAATAAAGTGTCCGTTTTAGATGAAGCGATTGCGATAATAGTGGACTGTACAATAACGAAAGGGTGAAATCACAATGCTGATATTTGTCTGTCTTGTTTTCATAAAATTAATAATATCTATTCATTTCATACTTTTCGTTTATAGAAAGTTTTTTTTGTAATATAGAGTTCACAATAACAAACTAGGCTTAATTTCATTCAAAATAAGATATCAAATGAATTAGTATAAAATCCACAGTTAATACATCTGTCAGATAGTCGGGCATCTTGATGTGTTAATTATACTTTTATCACTATAAAGGGGTTATATAAAAACATTTATCATATTTTAAATACTTTAATCAAAAGGACAAAATATAAACATTCAAACTAGATAATATGTAGGTATGTATTTAATTTATATTTCTATATAAATCAACCAAAATAGCAATGAATAGTTATATCTTATTAATACATAACTTTAATTATGATGTATATAAGCTTTTATCGATAATCAAAATAATAAATATAGCAATAATTACTCATAGTAACAGCATAACAGCATGTACTTACATTTATTGTGGCAGCACAACATTTAGACGTCCGTCCTCTCCAAGAGCCGGCACACTAATGCCCGCTTGCTTGTGCAACACCGATATTTATAAACTCTCCCCACCACTAGTCAAGCGCTCCGGTCGAGACCGGTTGCGTATCTCTGGTTTTGCACAAGCAAGCGTGCGGTGTAAAATATGCAATATGTATTATTTTAGTATTAAAATTAAATAATGTTTAAAAAAAATAAATAATCAACAATAATAAATATCTATAATATCATAAAACGCTGACAGTCGGCCATCCTAGAAAAGGCATGACCTCATGCATCTTATAGGTTTACATCATGATTACTTATTATACTCTGATTACTAGTACAACAATGTTTCACAGAATAGGACCCTTCTGTCCATTTGGTGACATTGGGACCCTTCTGTCCCTTTGTCGCATCAGGACCCTTCTGTCCAGTTGGTGACATTGGGACCCTTCTGTCCCTTTGTCGCTTCAGGACCCTTCTGTCCCTTTTATAGCAATAGGACCTTTTGTCCATTTTGTGGCATTAGGACCCTTCTGTCCTTTGCCAATACATAATTATTTTTACACTTTATCAAATGATCTTAAAATAAGATATAAATCTAGCTTACTTTACCAATTCAATCAATCAGACCATTTCAATAAAGATTCATTTATTCTGATTCATTACAAATTTTGTCCGACTCATCAGATTCACTCGATACCTCATTATCGCTATCATGCGGTCTATTAAAATTCAACCATGGCTGGATTTTATCTACGGCTACTATTGTTGAATAACGTCTGTTACCTTTCTTAGTTATAGGTGTGTCCTCAATTTGAAATCGGTCGTTATCAAGAATTTTGATTATCCGGTATGGCCCTTGAAACTTAGGTATTAACTTTCTACTATGTCCCGTGGAAGGTACCTGACGCTCTACTCTTACCAGGTCTCCGACCTGATACTTTATAGGCTGGGTGCGCTTTTTATCAAACCTGACTTTGTCTTTTCGTTGATTCTTTTGAATGTGTGTACTTATTTCATCTCTAATTTCGCTAAGACTTTGATCAGTACTAATTTTAGTAATATCTGTTTCTAATTCAGAGATAATCCTACCTTCACTAGACCCTGTTAATCTTTTTCCAAATAAAGCTTCAGCTGGTGTGCGATTAATGCCTTTGTTAAATGTGTTGTTAATACCCCACTGTACCTCGGGCAAAATTTCATCCCATTTATTTTCCTTAACTCCGATAGTTTTTGCAGTTAGTGAGTCAACAATTATTTTGTTATATCGTTCCACCTGCCCGTTTGCTCTAGGAGTGGCAACGGCGTTTAGAACGTGCTTAATTCCCTTTTCAGACATAAAATGTTTGAAATTATCACTGGTGAATGAGGTTCCCCTGTCAGAAATAATTCTTCGAGGGATTCCGAAAATTCCAAAGTATTCTTGGAGGACCTTTATACTAGTCTGAGACTTTGTATTCCTAACGGGTTTAAGATAAATGTATCGAGTAAACGCATCAATTATCACAAGGATATACATATTTCCCTGGGACAATATTATTTGATCCTCTAAAAACTAATTGATCTTTTTTGTATGTGCACTTTTAAAAATAAATGATGTTTTTTATTATATTTTATCTTTATATTAATTATTGGGTCTATATTACTTGATCTACGGATAAATTATGAATGATCTTCATTAAAGGTAACATAATATTTATGTTTAACATACTCTTTTAATATTTGGTAAACAAAAATAATATTTGATCCTCTTTTTTAGTTATTGATCTTTAATTTTGTTAATGTGATGATTTTTATATCAAGTTTGCCTTTTAATATCGATCACCTAATAAATACATTTCGATCTATGTATAACTTAACTTTAAAATATATTTGATCTAACAAAAAATATTATTGGTTAATATTTTTAATTAAAAAATATCTTTTAATTTACGCGGTACTTTGTGGTTGAGTGACAATCGTCCATCATTGGTTACTGAGTTGGCTTAGCGGCCAATAAGCAAGCAGAATGGTACATTGCCATGTTTGTTTACATTACAAGCTTTGCTTAGTTTGGGACTAGAGGCNTACGAATAAAAGGGCCGGTGTGGTCGATGTGGATCGTGTCAAAAGGTTCCGCTATTTTTGGCACTGGATGAAGAAAACCAGGTTTTTTCCCAGTTGTTGATTTTGAATACGCACATTCTAAGCACGAGTTTACATATTTCCTTACAAAATGTCTCATTTTTGGGAACCAGTAGGTAGACTTTATTTTTTCCAACGTTTTTTCAAAAGCAAAGTGGCCAATGTCATCGTGACTCTGTTTTACAATTTGCCAGCGAACACCTTTTGGCACGACCCATCGATCGCCTTCAGGAGTTACACGAAACAATTTACCATTCTTAATTTTGAAGTTTGCCTTTATGTCGACCATATTATCGAGCTCGGGATCTTTGAGAATACCCATTATCCTTTGTACGGTGTCATCTGCACTCTGTACGGTGGTAAGCCAATTATAATCGGTTACAGAGAGAACATTTAGAGTCGATGGAATGGGATTTCGACTTAATGCGTCAACGTGAAGCATTGACGCGCCGGGTCTATATTCGATGACAAAATTGAATTCCTGTAATTGTTCCCACCATCGAGCGACACGGGGAAGCATATCCTTCTTTTGGAATGTGGCTTTGAGGGAATTACAATCTGTGACTATCTTAAAAGGGATACCGACCAGGTATACTCGAAATTTCTGTAGTGCGGATACTACTGCTAACGTTTCCAAATCATACGAAGAGTAATTTTGTTCTTCGGGAGTAGTTTGCTTACTAAAATATGCCACAGGCCGTAAAACATTGTTGTCCTTTTGTAACAAAATTCCTGCTATTCCGAATTTAGACGCATCGGTATGTAATTCCGTTTCGGCATTTGGGTTATATAGTGCTAACGTAGGTTTTTGTATTAGCTCGTTTTTTAATGTGTTAAAAGCTGCCTCCTGTTCAGTACCCCATACCCATGAGACATTGTTCTTTAAGAGATGTGTCAAAGGTTTTGCTATTATTGAAAATTTAGGCACAAATCTTCGGAAAAAACTTGCCAAACCCAAGAACTGGCGAATATTGTGCTGATTTTGAGGTGTTGGATAGTGTTTGATTGCCTCAATCTTTTTACTACCAGGCTGAATGCCATTTTCGGAAACTTCAAACCCCAAAAAGTCAACTGTACGTTTGAAGAAATAACATTTTGATGGTTTTAGCGATAATCCTGCATCTTTAAACAGTTGTAATACAAATTTCAGTCGGGACATGCCTTCTGCAATACTTTTGGAAGGAATAATGATATCATCTAAATATGCCAGTGCCTCACCGTGACGAGCGTTTCCTAAGATTTGATTCATTAGGCGTTGAAAAGTAGCGGGCGCGTTAGCAAGCCCGAAAGGCATTCGATTGAATTCGTAATGCCCATCGGGTGTTACGAATGCTGTTTTGGGCTTGTCATCCTCCCGGATAGGCACCTGGTAGTACCCTGATGCCAAGTCCAAGGTTGTGAAAAATGAATTACCAGCCAAAATGTCTAACTGATCGTCAATGAGAGGCATAGGGTATTTTTCTTTTACAGTTTTTCTGTTTAGAGCCCTATAATCAATGCAAAGGCGAATTTCCCCGGTTTTTTTGCGTACAAGTACTATGGGGCTTGCATAAGGTGAAGTCGAGGGACGTATAATGTCATTGTCAAGTAATTCACTGACTATTTCCCGAACCTTTTCCTTTTCGCTTATGGCAAGTCTATACGGCCGGTAGACTATAGGTTGGTCGTCTTGCAAAACTATTTTCATTTGTTCTACTGATGTACAACCTAACTCAGAGAGTTCAAAAGCAAAACAGTCGCGATACTCATTCAACAATGTTAAGAGTTGCTGTTCTTCTTCATCGGATAGATCATTATCTATGTTCAAATCCGCGATTGTAATAGGATTTGATTTGTATGCTGATACATTCATGACGTTCAAAGCTTTAGTGGTAACATCTTCATGAGCTACATGTCCACGAGCAATTAGGAAGCCCTGTTCTAATGTGAATTTCAATGA